TGATAATAGCTCTTTGAATTTCCTAGTTTCATGAAAACATGCTTTACAGAGCCACTTCAAATAATAATGAGTCAATAAGAATGACTTACACATCTAGTTTACTTTTTTTGCATTGGTTATTAGGAAATTCAAAGCTAAATATAATACATAAAAATCCTTTTAGTCTACATGTACAAGATTGTATATGCTTATTCTTTACATGCTGTTTAATTTCTATTTTAAACAGTCTTATTTTATACAAATCTTTTATATTATATGAGATGTTTTCCATTTTAGAACTAGCCAGGTAGCATAAATAATGTGATACATTCTTATATATGGATTAACTAAGCCAGGGGCCTCCATTTAGGATCTGTGAAAATCCCAGGAATTCAGAAAGGCTTTTGACTTCCTTATCTTCACTTCTCTGTTGCCCCCAAGTTAGATCATAAGTATCATATGCTTAAAAGTTTCTGTTACAGTGATTGCCCTTTTTTAATTTCAGACTTCACAACTCCTGTAACTTCCTTTCAAAGTATATTAGAACTCTGAGTATCTTTCATTTGGGTTATTGATTTATAAGTTAGGATGGTGTTTGTTAACAATTAATAGTACTCTCCATTTGCATAGAGAAGGTAAAAGGATCATTAGTAGCACAGGTCAGTGTTACATTAGCAACCAATGGAATAGTTAACTTGAGTACTTACAGAAGACAACAGAAATCTCTTGGTTTCCCTTAGAATCCTACTAGGGCCCTAGCTGGTTTGGCTCAGTGAATGGAGCATCAGTCTGCGGACCAAAGGTTCTTGGGTTGGATTCCTGTCAAGGGCACTTACCGTGGTTGCAGGCTTCTCCCCAGCCCGGGCTCTGGTCAGGGCTGGTGCAGGAAGCAACCACTCAATGTTTCTCTCACATTGATGTTTCTTTCGGTCTTTCCCTCTCTCCCACTCTCCTTAAAAATCAATGGAAAAATATCCTCAGGTGAGGATTAACTGAAAAATAAATTTCAGATTCCTTTAAAAAGAAAAATCCTGCTAGGAATGACTTTATTTTGTGTGTTTGTGTGTGTGTGAGTAATTGATTTTTTTTTTTTTGATTTTTTTTTTTTTTACAGAGAGGGATAGAAAGCTAGAAACATCAGTCAACTGCCTCCTGCACACCCCTTACTGGGGATGTGCCCGCAACCAAGGTATATGCCCTTGACCAGAACTGAACCCTTCAGTCCTCAGACCGACTCTCTATCCACCAAGCCAAGCTGGTTTCGGCCAGGAAAGGGATTTTAATAAGTAGCTTTTTTGCAAAGTAGCAGGGCAAATCATCTTAAAACTGGAGATTTAGCCACTCAGTGGTTAGAGTGTAGGCCCTTGGACAGAAGGGTCTCTGGTTCCATTCCCACCCAAGGGCAGGCATGTACCTAGGTTGCAATTTCTGTCGGGGTGGAGGCCAATCCATGTGTTTCTCTCTCACATTGGTCTCTCTGTCTCTCTCTCTCCCCTCCTCCTCCTCCTCCCCCTCCTCCTCCTCCTCCCTCAACCTCCTTTCTGTTCTCTCTCAAAATCAATGGAAAAAATTTTCTCAGGCGAGTATTAACACCCCCCCCCAAAAAAAAAAAAAAAAAAAGGAACACACTAAAGATTTAGATAGACAAGGTCTTTGGGTCCCATAGGTAATAGCATTAAAAAATCTAAGCTTTATGGTTCTGTTGTCATTAATGATGTGGGAAACTGTAGGATTGGCATATAATTACATATATGGTTAGAAATTGATAAAATGTGAATAATGTGGTATTTCAGGTAAGCTTGTTTTAATTCTATTTCATAAACTATTCTTGTTTTGATTACCTAACTCTTCAAGAAGCCTAAAAACATTTATTTATAGCCCATGTAGTTCAATTGGTTGAGCATCATCCCATGTACCAAAAATTCATTGGTTCAATTCCCAATCAGGGCTTATGCCCAGGTTTTGGGCTCAGTTCCCAGTAGGGAGTATACAGGAAGCAGATGATAAAGCGATGTTTCTCACACTGATGTTTCTTTCTCCCTCTCTTTTCCTCTCTCTCTAAAGTCAATAAAAAACATTTTTTAAATAAAATATTTGTTTATAGGTTGACAAACGTTTTTTATTTTTAAATCAGGTGACTAATAAAGGTACTGAAAGAATATGGCTGCACAAATTCCAGAATCTGATCAGATAAAACAGGTAAGGTATTATAATTAAGGAAAAGGCATTTGGCAAAAAATTTAAGGCACTGTTGAATGCAACCATGTTAGTGATCTCACAAAATAATGGTTTATACTTCATTTCCAAATTTGGAAATAAAATGAAGAATATTTATTTTTCAGGTAATCCAGGAAAGAGTATTAAATGAGAAAATCTGATTATATTTTGTAGCTCATATTACATAGATCACAGTATACCCATTTGAGTTAGCAAAAGTTTGACTTCAAATATTATAGGACATTTCACCTAAAATACAAACTTCAGTTAATTTTCAGAACATTTTTGTTTTAAAAGACAAATATTAACCAGTGAACTTATATACCTATTAGAGGCCTGTTGCACGAAATTCATGCACAGCGGGGAGGTGGGGTGTCACTCAGCCCGGCCTGTATCCTCTCCAATCTGGGACCCCTTGGACATACTTCTCACAGTACGGACCACTGGCTCCTAACTGCTCATCTGCCTGCCTGCCTGCCACCTAACCACTCCCCTGACGGCCTGATCACTCCCAACTGCCCTCCCCTGCCGGCCTGATCTCACTCCTAACTGCTTGCTCTCCCACCTGCCTGATCTTGCCCTCAACTGTGTGCGCTCCCTCACCAGCCTGATCTCACCCCTAACTGCTTGCTGTCCCACCAGCCTGATTGCCCCTAACTGCTTGCTCCCCTGCCAGCCTAATCGCTGCTAACTGCCTCTGTGTTATCCGCACCCCCACCACCACCACCACCATGGCTTTGTCCGAAAGGAAGAAGGAAGTCAGCCGTCTGGAGGATGTCTGGTCAACCCAGTCTAATTAGCATATTACCATTTTATTAGTACAGACAGGCATAGCCCATGGATAGACAGTAATTCGGGGAAGACCTGGGAGGGGGGGACAGGAGCAGGGTGGAGAGAGGGTCAGTGATGGGGATGAAGGGACTTCTGTAATACTTGCAACAATAAGTAAAGTTTTCTAAAACACCAAATATTAACACCTTATTTGTTTATATTTTTTAAAAATACCTTATTTCAGGGGCAAAGAAAGGTAGTGGGTTGATAATTATCAGGGGAAAGGGGTGTGGGTGGTGCAGGAAGAGACTGGATTAAAATCTTACACCTATGGATTAGGACAATGAGGGGAGGTAAGAGCAGGGGAGGATGGAAACTAGATGGAAGGGAGATATTGGGGGGGAGGAATAATTGTAATAATCATGAGCAATAAAGATTTATTAATTTTTTTTAAATGCCTTATTTGTTTATAGTTTAAAGAATTTCTTGGAACCTACAATAAACTTACAGAAACCTGCTTTTTGGATTGTGTTAAAGACTTCACAACAAGAGAAGTAAAACCTGAAGAGGTATGAAAAGGGTACCCACTAAAGATTCTCTAAGCTTGTGATCATCAACTTAAATGCAATCCCCCTAAGCATTTTGCTTGTTCCTAGTTATTACAGGAACTTTGCCCACCTTTTATGCTCCACTGCTTGGAGGAACTAAAGCAGCCAAGGACCCATAACATTGAGTTTAATGGTGACAAATTTAATATGATAGTCACATTGAATCAATGCATACTAAAAGAAAATGCCTGGGGCTTGCTGAGTTATTGTTCCATTGCAAAGTTTTAGTAATTAGATTTTAATTAAGATGATCTACCTTGAGAAACTTGACATGGCTTTTCTATCTGACCCTGAGAATTCAGGATAACTTTGGAAAAACTAGAGCTTGAATTTCATCACTCATAGTGCAGAGGTAGACTCTTAAAACCCAATCCTATTAGAAGTTACAACTTTTAACGTGCTCATCAAAACATTCATATATTGGCTGAAAGTGATATAACTTCTTCCAGTGGAAGAATACTGAAAACATTCATGCCACGATCTTAACTTTTAACCAGCAATGAATAAGTACTTGTTAAATAAGTGACATAGTTTGATAGATGTTAAGTGTAATATTCTTATAGGAAAAAAGTAAAAGTTTGAGAATTTATATTAAGAGTGGAATTTTTCATTAAAAAGGAACAAAGTTGTACTGGGCCTACATTTTAATAATCAGAATAAGGGGATGAGAATGTAGGCTTTCAGTTAATACTAAAGCACACCTGCAGAAAGTCTAGTCCAGCTAGTAGGGACTTACCATTGTTTTTAGTGCCTAGTGACCCATAGGTATCAAAATGTAATACCTCTTGTATTAACAGTTGAAAGCTATGGTCATCTGCTATTTATTAATACCACTTAATTCTCAGATATATTCAAAGAAAAGTACCTACTTGTTGGTCTTTTAGAATACATGCATTTTTTCCCCCCAAAATTAATATTTCTGTGTTGCCTCTTCCATCTTCTCTCTTTTTATTTCTAGACCACCTGTTCAGAACATTGCTTACAGAAATATTTAAAAATGACGCAGAGGATATCCATGAGATTTCAGGAATACCATATTCAGCAGAATGAAGCCCTGGCAGCGAAAGCAGGACTCCTCGGCCAGCCACGATAGAGACGTCCTGACAGCTGGACTTTCCCTTAGAAGCTGCCAATAGTTTGCACTGGAAGTGAGGATTCATCTGCTAGAATCCCCTGAAAGCAGTAGCCACCATGTTAACCATCTGTCATGACTGTTTGGCAAATAGAAACCACTGGAGAAACAAAAATGCTATTTACCAGGGATAATCAAAAGAGAAGGTCTTATTGTCCAATCAAAGTGTAAGATGCAACATTTGTTGAGGCCTTATGATTCAGGAGCTTAGTCACTTGATTAGAAAAATAAACCATTGTTTCTTCAATTGTGACTATTAATTTTAATGCAAAATATGTGTTCAATCATGAATAAGATAGAAAGTTTTTTTATTTCTAAAAGTTAAATAAATGGAAATATCACTGCGCAGTTGTTCATGCTATATCATACTATAGTACTCTCACTGGACTGTGGATACGTTGAAGTGTTTTTCAATCAGTGTCATCTTCCAAGCATTCCTGTTCATTCATGTCTGCCTCAAATTGCTGGTAAACACAAAATAGTTACTAATCATTTCAATGCACGATCCTTTTCTTGCCCCTCTCCAGTGTCAGACAGGGCATTACACATTCCTATCCTAACTACATTTCCATGTATTTTCAGGAAACAAACCATCTGAGACGAGCTTGGGGATATGTGAGTTGAGTGTTAGGCTCTAGTGGAATGTGTGTTTTGTTCGAAGGCTGAGAGTCCAACCTGAATGATTCTGAGTCAGACCAACGACACATAGTGTATTCTCAGCCGCGATGTGATCGGTGTAATAAAGGGTGAGCCAAAATTAAAAGTAGTGTCTTATGGCTAGTCCTAAAATCCAAGCATTTTTAGGAAATTCTAATTGATCCATAAACATATCAAGCAGCTTGGTAAATGTAAGTGGACTAATACCTATTAATAATTAGCTTCTGAAAGAATTTCATTTGATATCAATCTCAATTTATACATTAGAAAACACTGATTAGTCTATATGTTTAAACTTACCAATGTGATATCTATGTTTTGTCATACTAATGGAAAGTTGAAGTGTGCTGCTTTGATAATTTACTGTTTTCTATGTTACATCTAATTTTTAAGCCACTAGGTCATTTAAATAACAAATACCATTTAACTTAAAGGACTCCATGGACATTACAGTAGGTCAATAATTGTGGTATCTTTGAAAGTACAAAGACAAATAAAATGTTAACAATGCTACCTTTAAAATTGAAATGCTGAAACATAATTCTCAATAAAATATACAATACATTATAGTCAAAGGAACATGAAAGAATTAGCTTGTTTCACCTTAAGGCAAGAAAGGCAAAAAAAAAAAAAAAATCAGATTTTACTCATTTAAAACTTTGGACCATTGACACATCTACTTTGCTATTTCTATGTATTCAAGCCAAATTTGTTTATTCTGCCCATTTTACAAAGATAAATAAGTGCTTACCTGGCAAATAAGGGGAATTTTGTGTAACAGCATCTCAAATACCTTGGGAGGGAGTGTGCGTTTAAAAACCTTCAGAAGTTCCCGTGGTTGCCCAGACATTGAAATGGCATTGCTGAGATGTTCAGCCCCCATACTGTGCTCTCCTGAAACAAATTGGTAAGTTCAGAGCAAAATTTTAATGTTCTTCAAAATATAAATTATACAAATTACTGAGAAAGCACCAAGTATTAAAACTTTAAAAGTAGAGGATTCTAAAGATGACTGGCAGGAAGGTAGAATAGGAGAGAGTGTGAGAGAGGGAGGGAGCGATAGAGGAGTGTATGGTGTGTGTATGAGCGAGGGACAGATCCTGCAGGTCTTCCAAGGGGCTGCCAAACTGGGCAGTCTTAGATGGCACAGCCCCACTGCCACCACAGATATTCCGGGGATGGCCAACATGGGCACAGACCATGCCGTCTTGAAAAATAGAACTTCTTAAGGCTAGGATCCTGGCCTCAGCACCACCCAGTCTGGTCACAGACGCAAACCAGGACCTTGAAGCCACTGGGGACAGAGACCTGCCACCACAGCTGCAGACCCACAGAGGCCAAGAATCCAGACATCCGGGCCACAGATTTCTGTGAGTCACAGAGCCCATCCCCCTCCTCACAGGCTCACTGGAATGACATAAGAACTGTTAGACCTGCCCCTCGCACAGGGCCACAGCTCCTCTACAGGAATTTGAGCCTGGGTGTGTGCATGGACACTGGGAATCTTTTGCTGCAACACAATCGGTGACCAAACCCCATGCCCATGCAGGGTGGCAGTACCACCTGACTTCAGTTCTGGGCAAGCACACACGAAAGTCTGTTTTTCCCAGCACAGGAGTGGACCTCCAGCCGACACAGTGCTACTGTGCGTCCCAGTCCCCCAAGCAGACTGGGGACCCTGATTCTTTGCACAAGAGGCAGCACTGAGCACCAGTGACTTGACTCTGTTTCTCATCATGCTTGCCTGGGATCTTTGATTCCCAGTGCATTCACACTGACAGCAAGTGACTCCAATTCTTGGGGCATGCACACACAGGGACCCTGATTCTCAGCGCAGGGCTGCACCAAGCAACAGAGACTCTGATACTCAATTGTTGGTGCAGGCATAGGGGAACTCTGGCTCCTGGCACATGCCAACAGGGTCTCTGTTTCAGAATGGCGATGGCAGGGTCCCTGATTCTGGTGCGCACACCAGGCCACACTGAGTGCCTGTGACTCTGATCCTGGGCTAGTGTGACTCCCACCAACACACAGCAGCCACACGTCTTGGTGTCACAGCTCCCACTACACACGGCCCAGGCCCACACAACTCAATAATGTTTGAACCTTCTGGTGATAATCAGAATGGGAAAACAACTATACAATCTCCAGAGGAAAGAAAATGAGGAGTCATCAAGAAAGGAAATAAGTGAAACAGAAGCATGCAACATAACAGAAAAATAATTCAGAGTAATGGTTATACAGTTCCTATACCAGATGAATGAGAAAATCAACAATCTATGCAAAAATCAGCAAGAAATCAAAAGTGAAATAGCTACAATCAAAACACGATGGAAGATTTCAACAGTAGACTAGAAGAAGCAGAGGACAAATTAGTGAGGTAGAAGATAAAGTAGAGAAACAAGCTCAATCTGAACAGCAATGGGAGGGGAAAAAATAAAAAGCAGGAGGAGAGCGTAAGGGAGCTTTGGGACAACATAAAACAAAGTAACTTATGTATAATAGGGCTGCCAGAAGGACAAGAAGAGCAGCAAGGATTAGAAAATCTATTTGAAGAAATAATAACAGAAAATGTCCTGGATATGGGGGGAAGGAGGGAGGGGGTTTTGACACAAGTACAGAGTCCCAAGCAAGATGAATCTGAAAAGATCCACACCAAGACATGTCATAATTACAATAGCAAATGTTAATGGCAAAGAAAGAATCTTAACAAAGAAACAGAGTTACCTACAAAGGATCCCCCATCAGATTATCAACTGATTTCTCAACAGAAACACATCAAGCTAGAAAGGTATGGAAGGAGGTATACAAACTGATGCAAAGCAAAGGACTGAATCCAAGAATTCTCTATCCAGCAAGACTGTCAATCAAAATTGAAGGAGAAATCAGGAGCTTCACAGACAAAAAAAAAAAAAAAAAAATGCTGAGGGAGTTTATCACTACCAAGTCAACAATGCAAGAAATGTTAAAGGGAATGCTATAAATAAATAAATAAATAAATAAATAAATAAACAAACAATAAAAAAAAAGAAAGAAAGAAAGGGAGGAAGGAACACAGGCATAAAGAACAGAAATGGCTATAAACAAGTACCTATCAATAATAACATTAAACAGCCCTAACCAGTTTGGCTCAGCGGATAAAGTGTTGGCCTATGGACTCAAAGGTCCCAGGTTTGAGTCCAGTCAAGGGCATGTACCTTGGGAGTACATGGTGGGCAAATACCCAATAGTAAGTGTGCAGGAGGCAGTTGATCGATGTTTCTCACTCATTGATATTTCTAGCTCTCTATCCCTATCCCTTCCTCTCTGTTTAAAATCAATAAAATATATTTTTTTAAATTAAAAAAATAATAATAATCAATGGAGAAATATCCTTAGGTAAGGATTTATGATAAATAAATATAATCAATAAAAACATTTAAAATGATAACATTAAACATAATTGGATTAAATGCTCCAAGCAAAAGACATCAAGTGAGTGAATGGATAAGAAAACATGACTCATATATCGATATATGGAGCTAATTTGACACAAAAACAACATGATTAGTTAAGTCAACCACTAAATTCAATCAAATCATTGGTTCTATGGTCCCAAACAGACACAACCAAAATTGAAATGGCTATAGAACTAGACTACCTGACTACAAAGTTATGAAAATTGGGGTTGGTACAGAGGGGAGTGGGAAAAATTGAGAAAGATTACAGAAAACTGGGTGAAAGGTTATCTCACATTAGAATACTTGTTCTCAGTGTTGGATTTATATTGTAATAACCAGGAGGTTTAACAAATACTGATGCTTGGGTACCATCCCCAGAGATTCTGATTTAATTGGCTTGGGGTTTAATGGGATTTAAAGAGTAAGCAAACAAGATGGACAACTGCTTTAAAAGTAAAATACAGTAAAAGTACATAACCCTTAAAGAGCTCATTAACCCATTTAGGGGTTCACAGAATTAAAACTATTCCCTTTGAGAGGGAAAAAATTAAATACACAAGTTTGCAATTACCATTTTAATCATCTTAATATCTATAACATTCATCTCAGTCTAAACTAATACACAATAGCTCTTAAACATGGTGAATAAAAATAAATTGTAAAAAATACTTTTTTTTTCTTTTGGTTTAATATTCAGAATTGTCCTCTCCATATTTATTTTATACTATCCCAAATGAAAAATGTTAAAACTGAAAAGCTCTATTTTAATTGCCTCTTTATCGAGGGAGTATCCATATGTAGGGACTAATTCAGATTTTATGAAGCCCATAGTTTATATAATTTGGGAAACCCTGTTTAAGAAAATAACAAATTTTGCCCTGGCCGGTTTTGCTCAGTGGATAGAATATCATCCTTTGGCCGAAGAGTCCTGGGTTCGATTCCAGTCAAGGGCAAGTACCTTGGTTGCTGGCTCCTCCCCAGCCAGGGCCCTGGTCAGAGCACGTGCAGGAGGCAACAAATTGATGTGTTTCTCTCACATCGATGTTTCTCTCTGTCCTTCCCTCTTCCACTCTCTCCAAAAATCAACAGAAAAATATCCTCGAGTGAGGATTAAAAAAGAAAATATAAAATTTTGAATACAGCCGAGACCAGTTTGACTCAATGGATAAGGCATCAGCTTGGGGACTGAGGGGTCCTGGGTTCGAATCTGGTCAAGGGCATGTACCTTGGTTGCGGGCATATCCCCGGTAGGGGGTGTGCAAGAGGCAGTTGATCGATGACTCTCTCTCATCGATGTTTCTAACTCTCTGTCTCTCTCCCTTCCTCTCTGTACAAAATCAATAAAATATATTAGAAAAAAAAATTTTTTAATACAAAATTGGTAGGACTCCTCCCAGCACTTTCAAAGAGGCGCATGCAAATGAAGGTCCTTAAAACTTCTACTTCATTATCTTATGTAAAATCACTCCTGCTTATATCATTAAGTCAGTTCTAATAATTCATTTTGTCACTCATACTTATATTTTTAGTCCATTTATAAACCTACCAAAATGGTTAGTACTGAATAAAATACTGAAATTTTAAACTATGATTAATGTGCAATGATTTTGAGTGGCTGCAATATTTTTTTAATTTCTCAAAACCTTTAGCATGTTCTTAAGCCACCAATTAAAGTCAAAATCTTTGGTATTGCTCTGAGTTGTCCAGGATCTTGATTTCCTCTTTGTCTTTATAAATCCTGGAGGATGCTATCCTCATAAATGCAGGTTGAAAAACAAAATCTTTTCAGAAAAGACAATCAAAAGAAGCAAAAACAAATACAGGTACTGAGATATGGAGTGGAATTCGTAATACTTGGGGGGGAGGAGGAAGACACATAATGGGTGTAATACTTGTTTATTGAGTATCATCATTTTTCCCTTTGATAAGGCTCAAGAAAAAAATGTTTTTCTTTCCAGGGTTCAACACCAGAGTAAAAACATGGTCATTACATATACAATATTTTATATGATACTGAAATTATCTGCCATCATTTTATCTGACAATATTGTGTTTTCTCTCAAATCTATCTGGAATTGGGTGGGGATAAATCATATTTCAAAAAATAGGTCATGGCCATTAAGTGCAAAGTATTCCCCACAGGCATACTTTGGGACAAAAATGGATATTCATAATGACTTTACCCTAAAAAAAAAGTATCCTATTTTTTAAAAATATATGTTATTGATTTTTTACAGAGAGGAAGAGAGAGGGATAGAAAGCTAGAAACACCGATGAGAGAGAAACAATCGACCACCTGGCCTCCTGCACACCCCACACCAGGGATGTGCCAGGAACCAGGGTACATGCCCTTGACCGGAATCGAACCTGGGACCTTTCAGTCCGCAGACCGATGCTCTACCCACTGAGCCAAACCGGTTTTGGCTAAATAAGTATCCTATTAAGAATAAGAAGGCAGGCCCTGACCTAGTTGGCTCAGTGGATGGAGTGTTGGCCTGCGGGCTGAAGGGCCCCAGGCTTGATTCTGGTCAAGGGCATGCACCTTGGTTGCAGGCACATCCCAGCAGGTAGTATGCAAAAGGCAGCTGATCAATGTTTCTCTCTGGCTGATGTTTCTAACTCTCTATCCCTCTCCCTTCTTTGTAAAAAATCAATAAAATATTTTTTTAGAAGAATAAGAAGGCAGGAAAATGTTTATAAAGCAATTTAAAAATTTTAAAGTTTTGATTCACACAAGTAACCATTTGGAAAATTCGTTCACTTCAATTTTTACCTGGTGATAGATGAGGTGTTCTGGCATTTGGCTTTGCTTCTCCATCGGCACTTCCAAGACTGCAACATAACCTGGGGCACTAATTATAACACATTGGAGCTGGCAAGTGGGATGGAGTGACAATGCTAGGACCGTTTCTCTTTAAACTGAAGCACATTGGCTAACAAATCTAGCTAGTTACATTACTTAACGTATATGTCCTGATCAATAAATGAACAAATTATCATAAAGAACTGCCTACAAAGGAATGTTTATGTTCTTACCTCTAGATAGACAAAGCTCTCCCATTCGTACTTCTTGCAGAAAAAGTTCCTGCAACTTTTCATTCCTTGCTGGATCCCACAGCTGCGATTCACAAAATATTTAACAGTGAGTAACGAGTGTGACGGATATGTTTACTAATCAAAATTATTTAGTTTTTATTTTAAAATGCACTTCTTAAACCTAGGTTCTAAATTCAAAGTATGACAAAAGCAGTTATTCTTTACAATATTTAAACCAATTTCTTAAAGTGGAATAATGATTTCAGGCCATAAAAGAAAATAGATTAGGGGCTGGGTGGTAGGGATTAGAGGGGGAGGAAATGGGAGACATCTGTAATACTGTCAACAATAAAATAAAATTTTAAAAAAAGAGAAAAAAGATACATGGCATATCCAAATGAGGCTGAGATGCTTGTAATAACTCATCCATATTTTACTCGGCTTACTAAGTACACATATCAGACATCTTACTATAATTAACTATAACAAAGATTACTTTGTATGTTGCATATCTATTTCCTTGCCTGGGGTATTAACATTGTCTGTTGACTGGGACACAGCGTGGTGGGGCGCTGGCAGTGCAGCTGGTGTTGAGAAGGTCGCTGTGGTTTGCTGCCAGCTTGGTTTATGAAGGTGACCAGGGTCACAGGGTGTCACATCACTGGCACCATGCCCAGGGCTGGTCTTTAAAAGCAGAGTGAGCACCCGGCCGGCCTGGCTCAGGATGAACCAGGATGTCATGGTTTGATTCCTGCTCAGGATACATGCCTGGGTTGTGGGCTCCATTCCCAATAGGGGTCGTGCAGGAGGCAGCCGATCAATGATTCTCTCATCCCTGCTGTTTCTAGTCCCCTCTCCCTCTCCCTTCCTCTCTGAAATCAATAAAAACATACTTAAAAAAATTTTTTTTAGCCGATAGAGCGTTGGCCTGTGGACTGGGGGGATCCTGGGTTCAATTCCGGTCAAGGGCATGCACCTTGGTTGCGGGCACATCCCCAGTGGAGGGTGTGCAAGAGGCAGCTGGTCCATGTTTCTCTCTCATCGATGTTTCTATCTCTCTCCCTCTCTCTTCCTCTCTGTAAAAAATCAAAATATATTTAAAATTTAAAAAATTGTCTTAACACCTGTTCCTACAAAATGTATTGTATAGCTGCCTTTTCATAGCCTCAAATGGCTCTTCCTTCTCTTTTGTAAGCGACACTAAAAACTAAGCCTGAACGCCACGAGGGCTGGGAAGTGCGGGGTCCGGAACCAGCCGGGACCCCAACCGGGGCCGGGACCCCAATCCCAGCCGGGACCTGCCCTGTGGGGAGGCGGTTCCCTGTCCCGCCGCCTGGGGTCGCTGCAGCACCTCACCTGGGCGCCAGGTGCGGCCGCCTTCGGGGGCTGAGCTCTTCTTTCTGCAAAGACAACGCGGCACGTGCTGGGCGGGAGCCGTCCCGGCGCCGGCGGCCCGCGGCCCCTCCACCGGCGGCTCCGGGCCCCGCCTCGCCCGCGGGCCGCCCCGCCCCCCGGGCCGCGCCGCCGCCGCCGCCGCCGCACTCACTGTCCCGCAGGCGGCGCTTGAAGGCGGGGTCGCCGCGCCGCCTCCAGTCGAAGTACACGCAGTAGCCCAGGAAGGCGGCGGCGCCGCAGGCCGCCAGGGCCGCCAGGAGGCCGAGGAGGCTGCGGGCGCAGGGCATCCGGCCGCGGGCGTCCCTCGAGCCGAGCGTTGGGCGCGGGCCGGCGAGCGCGGGAGCCCGGCCGGCCGGCAGGGGGCGTCAGTCGGCGCGGCGCCCACAGCGGCTGCGGGCTGGGCTTCCAGGGCGCAGGGCCACAGGTGTGGGACGGAGGAGGCGACCAAGGGTCCCAGAGGGCCACCCATGGGTGCGAGATCGCACCGCCACCGGGCAGCAGAGCTCTGTTCACACTCCAGATTCGGATCCCCATTTACCCAACACACCCCACCGCTGTCCCCGTGCCTACCATGCCACCCAATCCGGCAAATCACAGTATGACAGCAATCTGGTTTAGCTGGGGAACTGGACCCTCCCTCCTTAGGACTGTGTTCCCTCACCTGCGAATTTTAAGTTGATGCAACACTTTGGTCATCTCCTAAGGAACTGCCCAGGGAGCTCCTGAACATGAGCGGTACCCGTCACCCGAGAGGACCCAGCAGCCCAAAGTACCCAGCCACCTGAGCGCAATAACAGGAAGAAAGGGGGATTTTGAAGCAATGACATTTAGCCTAGGAAAAACAAAACAAAACAAAACAAACAAAAAAACACAAAGAACAAAAACCACCGTTGATTTGCTGAGCTGACCCTGACAGCCAAAGCTCCTATGGCAAACCCAACTCTGACGCCCATGATCCTTGCGAGCCTATATGCTTTGCCTTATTGACACAGCAGAAAGAAGGTAAGACCTTACCCCAAATACCAGAGTTTTGAATTTAAACTAAGCCAAAGAGAAAGGCATAAGCTAGGCAAGGACCTAAAGAATGAAATAATTTAATTGTTTTAAGTTATTCAACTGCTCCTTACGATATAATAGTATTGCTAGAGTGTGCATCGCAAGGTGCTCATCACTGCTGTGACTACAATGGGGCTGAGAAGCAGCTTGGCCCTCACAGTTTGAGTTGGCAGATGTTTGTTGCATGTTAATTGTTTTCTTCGCTGCTCTATGTTTTTTCTTCCTAGCTCAGTCTTATAGTTGGCAACTCAAGCTATTGTCAAAACCTGGTTGTAAACACTGAAACAGAGGACAGCATAAGCATCCAGTGTTACTGGTGATCTCAGAGTTTTGGGTTCAGAATCTTAGTGATGGATGTAGCCTGGTTCCAAAGGGTATTTTTCTAGGCTGACTGGTCTTATCTTCCAATAAAACCACTCTATTGCCTTTCTGCCCCTTCCCATCCATTATTTCCACTGAACTCATAGACACTCTATGGTACATGGAGAGGGATGGGGCAGGGAAACTGGAGCAAGGTGGGTGTCCAGGGAATTAGTCCAGTGATGAAAAATAAACAGATCACTCAAATAAAATTGCCACAGGGATAATGTGGGAAAGTGACTGAAAAATATGAAGGCCAGTTTCTATGGTGTGTATTTTTCTTCTCATAGATACCACTCTTGCTAATTGGTGGTCAGACTTCCTAAAAAGCTTTGGTCATTATTCAAATTGAGAAAACATTAATAATTGTCCCCAAAGCATAGTTCTAAGCTGGATAATAGCTCTTTCTTTTAAACAGCTTTATTGGAATATAATATACAATAAATTGTACACTTTAAAGTGTACAGTTTGATACATTGTGACATATGTATACATCTCTAAAACCATCCCCACAATTAAGATAGTATTCATACCCATCACGTTCAGAAGTTTTTTAGGCTCCTTTTTAGTCCCTTCTTCTATTCTTCCTCACCATCCCCTGCTTTCTGTCACTCTAGATTAGTTTGTGCTTTCTAGATTATAAATGGAATCACACAATATGTATTCTTTTATTGTCTGGCTTCTTTCACTCAGCATACTTTTTTTTTTTTTTTCCCCCAGCTAGTCATTTATTTGACCATAAATCACACTTTGGGAATAGCCATGAGATGCATTATCCTGTATGGTGGAAACCCCCATCCCCGGATAACATCTTAACGCCCCCAAATAATTCATTCATCAAGTCTGATTATCCAATGATGTATCATGATTTCCCTCAAGGTTTTCCCACCAAATACTGTATCTTCAGTTCATCATACATGTTGAGCACAAGCTCATTCTACATCCATAACTTTTCAATGATAGGGTTTATGTCACCGTTTGTCAGGATAGTTGTAACAGTTATAAACATCTCCCTTTCTGTAATCAAAGCCAACTCAAAGAGAAAGTAGACACTAAAAATCTTTCACGCTCAAAGGCAAATGTATTCAGTTCCTTTCCATGCCGCACGTTCTAAGGTTATCTATGTGCTGGTTATTCCTGTTCTAATTCAAGTTGGGCACCTTTGAGTATCCACTTATCCTCCGCAGTGAGCTATATCGCATTGTGTGCTAGCAAGTAATCTGATGTGGGGGGGAAAGGAACATCCCTATGCTCTAGCTCAGTCAAGTGGGGAGTGTTCTGGGAGGATAGGTAATCTATTGTCTCTTCCGATGTTGTCTTGAGGCTCACAGTAGAGTCATTATCAGTTCGTATCAACAGATGCCAATAGAAGCCATTCAGATATGCTACAGCAGGGAGGAAGGCACAGGAGAAGAGGAAGAGGAGACTCAATGTCCTATGATGGAGTGTAGAGGCTGATCTAGGTACAGAAACCGGAAATAACGGAAACCGGGAAGTCCTCCTTAGGATGCCATGCCAAGCAGAAAACCTCCGAAAAATCCACCAGCCACTAGAACGTTCTTCTTCAAAAAGGACGCCATCTCCTCGGCTTTGCTTTTCACCTCTGTGGGTAAGTGGTTGCTCTTGCGGATCTTCAGCTGTTCCTTGGCCTTCTTCATGTCCTTCTCTACTCGTTGCCAGTCAGTTTTGATGTAGCCAGTATGGTTTGCAATCTGAAGGAGAAAAAATCCTCCTCCCACCGCTGTTGCAGCCAACTTTCCAACCTTCTGGAAGATGAAACCTGTGCACCAGCCAATGACCCCTCCGATCAACAGCTGTGTTGCGACGCTGTACTTTTCAGCTGAGGGCCCAGTTTCTGGCCCGAACAGCTTGCGCCACCATGGCTGCTTCTTAGCATATTCTGCAAGGTCCAGTGACTCAAAATGCCCTTGGGTGGACGCGGCCATTTCGGCGAGCTGGTCTCGCGATGATATGGGCGGCAGCTCGGTGCCAAACGACTCAGCATACTTAATTTGAGAGCAATCTGTATTGTTTTATCAGTAGTACATTTTTATTGGTAAGTAGCATTTCATTTTATGGATATAAGACAATGTATTTAACCCATTCATCTGTTGGGAAACATTGCTTGCTTCATTTATTGCTATTATAAATAAAGCTGCTATAAACATTTGTATTCAAGTCCTTATAAGGACAAAATATTTTCCGTTCTCTTAAATAACTCCTGAAGGTGAAATAGCTGCGTCATATGGTAGAAGTGTTTAGTTTTTATTTATTTTTTTTATATTATTTATTTATTTTTTAAACTTGGGTAATAAGAATCCAAAAAAGTGATCTAGGGTTTTAGGAGTGTTTAGTTTTTAAACAAACTGTCAAACATCTTTCTAAAATGATTAAACCATTTTGCATTCTCACCAACAATATATGTGAGTTCCAGTTCCTCCATAACGTTGCCAACATTTGGTATGGTCAACCTCCTCAATGTTAGCATTTCAATAGGCATACAGAGGATTCTCACTGTGGTTTTATCTTGCATTTTCCTAATGGCTAATATTGAATACCTTTTAAAAAGTCTTTATTTTTATTTTTTTTGAAAGTTGTATATAATATTACCTTATTCCTGCATCTTCACAATTGTTTCTTCCCTATGTTTTCCCTTTTCCTGTCCTACTTGGCGAGATTTGCCTTTACGTTCAAGGATCCTTTTGCGGTGTTTGTCCAGCTTCGGTCTAGTGATAACCACCTTGCTGGGTGAATGCCCACATGAGCAGTTGTACCATTAGCTTTCTCCCGTTGCACTCATTCACTGTAGATGAGATGTTTCTTCCTGTAGACCTGGACTACTTTGCCAGTTTTCTGCCCTTTGTAATGTCCTCGAACAACCTGAATTTCATCATCCTTTTGGATGGGCATGGATCGAAAACATTGTACTTTTGTCTCAGCTCTTTGGAAAGAGGAAACAATATAATCTTGCTTCGAATGTGGAAGGTGCATTGAAATGCCTTTTACAGTTCTTGCTCTGGTCCGAAGTCACAAAGGGATTGAACTTCATTTTGACCACTGGCGCTCCCACGCTGGCTGCAAGAGGGAAGAGCTTATTCTTTAGGGAAGTTTTAGGTGCAATAGAAAGTATGGAGGGCCCCCTAATACTGATCCCACACACGACCTCCCCTACCACCACCATCCCAGAGTGGCATGTTTCTTGTAATCAATGAGACTACACTGACAAGTCATTATCACCAGAGGTCTGTAATTTACATTAGGGTTCACTTTAAAAAAAAAAAAATCTTTACCCAAGGATATTTTTCCATTTTTAGGGAGAGTAGAAGAGAAAGGGAAAGACAGAAATGACGATATGAGAGAACCACATCAATTGGTTGCCTCCTGAAGAAGACCCGACGAGGACCAGGGCCCAAGTCAGGAGAAGCCTGCAATCAAGATACATGCCCTGGACCAGAACTGAACCTGGGACCCTTTGGTCTGCAGGTCAACACTAAGCCAAACCAGCTAGAAAGTGGTTCTCAACTTTTCTAATGCCATGACCCTTTAATACAGTTCCTCATGTTGTGGTGACCCCCAACCATAAAATTGTGTTGCTACTTCATAACTGTAATTTTGCTACTGTTATGAATCGTAATGTAAATATCTGTGTTTTCCGATGGTCTTAGGCTCTACAGCAGCAGTTCTCAACCTAGCAGAGCCGCCTAAGACCATCGGAAAACACAGATGTTTACATTATGATTCATAAGTCATTATATATTGCATTTCAGCAAGTCATTATATATTGCATAACATGGTCTTAGGCTCAAAAGCAGCCAATCTGAACCTGTAGGTCGTGAAAGACCATCGGAAAATACAGACATTTACATTACGATTCATTAATAGTAGCAAAATTATAGTTATGAAGTAGCAACAAAAATAATGTAATGGTTGGGGGTCACCACAACATGAGGAACTATATTAAAGGGTCGTGGCATTAGAAAGGTTGAGAACCACTGGGCTAAGGACCATTAGGGTTCACTCTTGATGTTATGCAATATATAATGACTAGAGGCCCGGTACACAAAATTTATGCACAGGTAGGGTCCCTAGGCCTGGCCAGCGATCAGGGCCGACTGTGGCCTTCAGGCTACCAGCCGATGCCTTAAGGCTGCCGGCCAGGGCCTTCTTTTGTTCCATGCCACCCCGATGGCCAGTGAACGTCATAGCGAATGATAAAACTCCCGAGAAGGTACTTTGCTTATTAGTATATGTATATTTTGACAAATGTATAGTTACATATATCCATCAGAATAACATTATGCAGAGCAGTTTTACTCTGCTACATCTATACAATCTCTCCTTTTCCCAACCTGGCCTTTGTACTGTCTCCATTATTTTGCCTTTGCCAAAATGTTGTAATTAGTCTTTTCAGATTGGCTTCTTTCACTTAGTAACATGCATTTAAGTCCCTCCATGTCTTCTCTTGACTTGATAGTTTATTTCTCTTAGTGGTAATATCCTGTTGACTAGATGTACGTTTTTCATCCACTTACTGAAGGGACATCTTGGTTGCTTTGAAGTTTTAGTAACTATGAATAAAGCTGCTGTAAACATGTGTGTGTAGGTTTTTGTGTAGACACGTTTTCAACTCATTTATACACACATACACACACACGATTACTGGGTCATATGCTAAGATTGTTTAATTTTATTAAAAAAAAAATACAGCCAGTCTTTCGAATTGGTTGTGCCATTTTTGCATTCCACTGGCAGATGAGCTTTTTTTTTCACATTCTCACCAGCACTTGGTATTGTTAGTGTTTTGAATCTTTGCATTCTAATAGGTATGTAGTGGTATGTTTTAATCTGCAATTTCCTGATGACATATAATGTAGACCATCTTTTCACATACCTACTTTCGATCTATCTTGTTGGTGAAGTGTCTGTCTTTGGCCCATTTTTAAATTGTATTATTCCTTATTGTTGCATTTTTTTGTTGTTTGTTTTGTATATTTTGTTCCCTTTCTCCCTCAATTTCTATGCTGAAATCTTAATCCCTTTGATGGTATAAGAAGGTGGGGCTTTTTAGAGATGATTACATCATGAGGGTGGAGCCCTCATGATTGAGATTAGTGCCCTTTGAAGAGAACCCTGCAGAGCTCGCTAGCCCCTTCTCCCTCAGAAGGCCCTGACCTGACTATGCTGGCACCTTGATCTGACCTCCCACAATGCAGAATTATAAAAAATGTTTGTTTATAAGCCCCCCAATTTATAGTATTCTTGTTAGAGCAGCCCAAACAGACTAAAACATTATTACTAGATCTTCTACAAATATTTTTTTTTCTGGTTTATGGCTTGTCTTTTCATTCTCTTGATGAACACTATAAGTACTTATTTGCCATCATTAAGTCTTTTTTGGTGAAGTGTATATTCAAATCTTAGTGAAAAGAACTATTAGATAAGGATCATTAGTAAAAAACAAAAAACAACAACAACAAAAAACTAACAATTCAAAAGTAACTTTTCTCACCATAAGTAAACATAGTGTGTGTGTTTTTGGTGTGTGCATTTTTTTTTAATCCTCACAAGAGGATAATTGTTTCCCATTGATTTTTAGAAAGTGGAAGAAAGGGGAGAAACAGAAAGAAACATAAATGTGAGACATATCAATTGATTGCCTCCTGTAGGGGCCAGAGGGCCAGGGATCAAGCCTGCAACTGAGGTATGTGCCCTTGACCAGACTCGAAACGAGTTCTTCAGTGTTCAGGCTGACACTCTAACCACTTAGCAAAACTGGCTAAGGTGGTAAACCAATTTTTGACATTTTTACTGTGACAGATGCTAGACCAAGCACTTTGTGAGATACAACTATAACTAAGGAGGACGTAAGAAACTAAACATCTAGTCCACACTAATAAAAGAGTAACATGCTAATTGACCATAACTTCAAGACGCCCACCAGCCAATCAGGAGTGGGTATGCAAATTAATCCAACAAGATGGTGGGTTAATTTGCATATGCAGGCACTGAGTGGCTGGGGCCAGGGCATACGAGAGGGTGCAGGCCAGGCTCAGAGACCTTCCTCTACACAAATTTCATGCACTGGGCCTCTAGTCCTATATAATAAAAGGCCAATATCCAATCGCCTGAAGGGTGGAATGACTGGTCGCTATGACATGCACTGACCAACAGGGGTCAGACATTCAACACAGGTGGTGGTCAGTGCACTTCCACAAGGGGAGCACAGCTCAGCCAGAAGCCGGGCGCATGGCTGCTGAGTGCAGCAGCAGTGGCAGGACCCTCTCCCACCTCCATAGCAGCACTAAGGATGTCCAATTGATTGCTTAGAAGTTCAAAAGATTAAGCCATCAGTCAGACATCCACTGAGGGTTCCCAGACTGAGAAAGGGCATAGGCCGGGCTGAGGAACCCCCACCCTCCCTGGTCTGTGCATGAATTTCATGCACAGGGCTTCTAGTAGGATAATAAGACACATGCATAAGTAAGCATAATACAAGAGAAGCTGTCAAGGAAAATTATACAGATTGAAAATGCTATCAGAGCCCAATTGAAGGAGATATTCTGGTGATAATGAGAAGTCAGCAAAACTTCATGGAAAAAGTAGCTGCTGAAATAGCTCTGGGCAAATAAGTATCAGAATTATGGGGGGAACATAAGGAGCAAAACACAGAGGTGGGCAAGGGCAGGTTTGGACAATGCCTGTATAGTTCTGGCTCCTGGCTTCAGGTCTATTTTTGTCCTGACTTATTCTACCAATTTCTTCTCCTTCCTGTCCTTGGAGCACTTTTTTCTCTATTGTCTCTCCTCCCATTTGCTTAGCAAATTCATAATTGTGACTGGGCTTTTGCTTTCTCTACAAAGCCTTCCCAGACCATCTTTGCCTTCAAACTTGGGCTCTGTATTACTACCTCATTCCATGCCAAAACCTTATATGCTTATCACACCTGCAGTAAGAATTACATAGATTAAGGGTTTAACATCTACCTCACGGATTATAAATTCCAGGAAAATACAGGAACTTTTTTCTGTCTTGTTCACTATTGTGATTCCTGAGCCTTAGCACAATACCTGGCACATTGAAGATATTAAATTGTTGATTATGAATTCTGGCAATATAGTTGGTGTATTTTCACAATGTTTCTAGCTATGATAAATTACAGGATTTATGAGAAAGGTAGGTATATAGGCAAATTAATAGCCTAATTTATATAGATTTCAATGATTTAAATAAATTTCATAGAAGACATAGTATGTATGTGCTAACACTGTGGTCAGCAAACTGTGGCTCACAAGCCACATGTGGCTCTTTGGTCTCTTGAGTGTGGCTCTTCCACAAAATACCACGGCCTGGCTGAGTCTATTTTGAAGTGGTATTAGAAGCTGTTTTAAAAATTTGGCTCTCAAAAGAAATTTCAATTGTTGTACTGTTGATATTTGGCTCTGTTGACTGAGTTTGCTGACCACTGTGCAAACATATGTACAAACATCTTCCTTAGTGAAGGACTGGAAAAGTAGAAATTCTACAAAACAACCAACCATAAAAGTACACAAAGAAATACTAAAATAGAAATTTCCATAATTCTCAAAGTACTTGATTTTAATGGACAGCACCTTCCATTTTATTTATATTTTAAAATGTTTTTATTGATTTTTAGAGAGAGGGAGATAGAAACATCGATAAAAGAGAAGCATTGATTGGCTACCTCTTGCACAGCTCCTACTAGAGATTAAGCCAATAACTTGGGCATGTGACCTGACCAGGAATTGACCTCTTGACTCAACCACTGAGCCACACCAATTGGGCGCACCTTCCATTTTAGATATTACAGTCTTTATACTTTCCCTTTTTAAAAAAAATACTAAGAGCACATATATTTATAAAGTCACAGAGGAAGAAGCAATTTTAAAAATATATATATTTTTTTATTGATTTTTTTACAGAGAGGAAGAGAGAGGGATAGTTAGAAACATCGATGAGAAAGAATCATCGGTCAGCTACCTCTTGCACACCCCTTTCTGGGGATATGCCTGCAACCAAGGTACATGCCCTTGACCGGAATCGAACCTGGGACCCTTCAGTCTGCAGGCCGATGCTCTATCTACTGAGCCAAACCGGTTTCGGCGGAAGAAGCAATTTGTATAAGAAATGAACTTAAGCCGGAACTGGTTTGGCTCAGTGGATAGAGCATCGGCCTGCAGACTGAAGGGTCCCAGGTTCGATTCTGGTCAAAGGCATGTACCTTGGTTGCGGGCACATCCCCAGTAGGGAATGTGCAAGAGGCAGCTGATCAATGTCTCTTTCTCATCAGTTTCTAACTCTCTATCCCTCTCTCTTCCTCTCTGTAAAAAAATCAATAAATATATTTTTAAAAAATGACCTTAAGAACAAGTTATAGAGGTAAAGGAAGGGCCCTTGGAGCTTGGGAGTGAGGAAGGAAATGGTAAAGTGCCCTGGTGGGGAAGGGAAAGGGACAGGGACAGGGAATGGTGTGGGCATGCTCCTCACAGTACCTATAATTTTACTTTTTTAGTCACATACAAGTCTGTTTACTCAAAGTTTAAGCTAAACTCAAAATATGCCCAATATTTGAATTTAATACCTAACCAATAATCACTTACTATGTTATCTTTAATTTTAATATCTAGTCAATATTGACTTTGTTTCATAAGACTTTCTAGGTCCAAATAAAAGAATTTTAACAGTGTCCATATACCCAATCTATACTAATACAAGGGAAATATGCTAATTAGACTGGAAATCTTCCAGATGTTCTTCTGGACAAAGCCATGGTACAGGGGGCAGAAGCAGAGGTGGTTAGGAACCATGAGGCCAACAGGGAAGAGAAGTTAAGGGTGATGAGGCCAGCAGGGGAAAGCAGTTAGGGGTGAAGAGGCTGACAGGGGAGGGCATTTAGGGGCAATCAGGCCGGCAGGCAAAGCAGGTTTGGGGGGATCGGGCAGGGAGGCAGGTGAGCAGTTAGGAGCCAGCAGACCCGAATTGCAAGAGGGCTCATGGATTGGAGGATATAGTCTGGCTAAGAGACCCCTGCTCCTGTGCACGAATTTCGTGCACTGAGCCTCTAGTGAATTTATAATTTTTCTCTCTGTAACAAGGTCCCAATACTTCAATACCAAATTTATATCAATTAGAAGGGACAATATCCAATCTGATAACTAGTTATCTCAGATTTACTGAATTGGTATTCAAGTAAATTATTAAAATTTCTAATGTTTAAATCTAAGGTTGCTTCCTAATTCCAACTGGATTTGAATGACACTTTTTTCAATTTTATAATTAGGTATTAGAAAAATTTTATTGTGAAAATTGAAGAATATATTGAATATGCTTTGTTTTCGAAGTCTGACTTTCTAATTGTAAGTTACTGGCACTTAGGAAAACAACAATCATTTCAATGAAAATTAAATATATAAAGCCTATGTTTAGAGGAAAACAACAATCATTTCAATGAAAATTAAATATATAAAGCCTATGTTTAAAACATGGCCTTTATTAATACTGCCCACTGAGCTCTATTTTTATTTTACATTGAAATACTTCTGCTTTGTAAAGAAAAGACAGAGAGGTGCATTTTACAAGAGTACTTTTTTGTTTTTAATTCTCTGTGAAAATGGAAGGATTCTGAATCACAAGTTCACAATGTGGTAAAATGAAATTAAGAAACAATGATTTTAGTAATGCTATGCCATCACTAGTGTTTGGCTCTGACTTGGTTGGTGTAAATCAGATCCTGATATACAGTCTAGAGCATCTAGGTTATTACTCTACAGCATATTAAACACAGAAAGGAAGTTAAAAAAAAAAACTTTCAATGTACAAACATGAATTTAAAAACCGATTTTAAAAAATCACGTTTTTACATAATGTATATGGCAAAACTGCTTTAAATACACGATTTTGGAAGAATTATTTACAAAATGTATCAGTCTGTGGAACAATTCACAGACATAGCATACATAATTGCTTTACTTGGTTGTTGCATCTCAACTTTGGGAGATATAAATTCATTCGGCAGTAATAGCAAACATAAAAACTGTGACAAAGTATCTTAAGGGCAACCAAAAATTTGATCCTCAAAACAGTTTAAATACTAGGACTGCCAAAGTGTCTAAAAGAGGATGTACTTTAGTGATCCAGATGCCCATTCATAGATCATACCGTGTGAAGGACTGAGACAGACTCCCTTCAATACAAGCAGAGCTGCTGGTGCAGCATCCTGTAAGAGGGACAGCTGAGAGCTACGTCATCCAAAAAGTGAATTAACCTAGATTTTTCTTTTTTTCAATTTTATTAATATTTTAAAAAATACATAAAAATACAACATCCAATGTCTGAATAAATATATTTAACAAGTTGCAAGATAATACCTTATTTTACACAAAAATTTCAGCTTTAGAAATCTTGTTAAATAACTTCATTGTTGTTATATATTTCATTTTTGTCTTTTTGTAACAAAATAAAAACTCTGAAATTACATAGAAAAAAGACAAAATATTTTTGTCAAGGGATAAGATAGTCCACTGAAAACTTATTCACAATTCCACTGTAAACATTAATAAACATTAAAATATTTGCATAATTGTGTGCTCAAAAATACTATAAAAAGTGGAAGACTTATTACAACTAGTTTTCAGTCAACTACACTTCCTTTCACAATTTATTTTGTCCCATTTACACTTTAAACCTGGGCACACTGCTGAACATATACTTTGGCAGTTCTACATAGCAAGTGCTTCCACAAAAATAAAAAACAACGACGACAATAAAAACAAAAACACACAACATAAACCCCCTACTCACCAAGTGTTCAGTCCACCTTAGTGAAAGTGCAGCAGTAACTATTCAGCTGGATAATGTTTTGATGTTTAGCATGCGCACTTGCCTGTCTATGATTTCTATAACACCTGAAAGCTTTATTATACAAATTCATATTTGCTAAGTGCCCTTTTTCTATCTTCACAAAAAATAAAAAATATGGAAGAAAAATTATGACAAATACATTAGACTGCCTAAATTTCAGTTATTAATCAGCTTATTTTTTGCAACAGAAAAAAGAAAAGAAGGGAATAGATACCATCCAGCCTGGAAGGGTCAACAGGATATAGGTACTTAGCAATGTCAAGCCAGTTGAGTGCTTTCTGTGGTTGTATTTCAGAGTTTTGGGATTTATGTCCATGGCAGCAAACTGCTGAGAAGGCAGAGGAAACGAGTATCACCTCCATTCTTCAGGAAGTACATTTTGTGGGGGAGATGATGATGAGGGACTCATTCCAGTGTCTGATGAAGCAGATGACATGGAGGCTTCTGCGTGAGACACTGTGGAATCAAAACGACTACATTAGACTCAAAAACTATCATGCAAAGATGCCCAGTCACTGGCAAGTTAGGAATTAACATTATTCTCTTCAGTTGTAGTTTTCTTAGATGATGCATGTAGGAATAAACTGTCAGCTCAAATGGGTAGAATCAGTCTCTGGTCAGTAAAGTAACTCAGATAAAAAAAAAAGCAATATAAATTTTTAAATATTAAAAAGACAAACTCTTATTTATTTATTTTTTAAATATATTTTATTGATATTTTACAGAGAGGAAGGGAGAGGGATAGTTAGAAACATCGATGAGAGAGAAACACTGATCAGCTGCCTCCTGCACACCCCCTACTGGGGATGTACCTGCAACCAAAGTACATGCCCTTGACTGGAATCGAACCTGGGACCTTTCAGTCTATCTACTGAGCCAAACCGATTAGGGCTCTCTTTGATTTTAAAGCCTAAGATTCCCTGAGCCTCTTTGTTATTAGTTATTGATTGATTGAGAGAGAGAGAGAGAGAGAGAGAGAGAGAGAGAGAGGGAAGGAGGGAGGGAGGGAGGGAGGGAGGGAGGGAGAGGGAGGGAGGGAAATGGGGGAAGAGAGAAAGAAAGAAACATTGATTTGTTGTTCTACTTTTTTTATGCACTCATTGGTTGCTTCTTGTATGTGCCCAGACCTGAAATTGAACCTGAAATCCTGGCAAATCTAGATGATGCTCTAACCAACTGAGCTGCCCAGCAAGGGCCTGAAACTCTTAAACCCCTACTTAAAGGTCCCTAGAAGGAATTCACCCTGCCTCCTGTACCCCCTCTACTAGGGATCAAACCCGAAACCCGGGCATGTGCCCTGACCGGGAGTCAAATTGCAAACTTCCTGGTTCATAGGTTCATGCTCAATCACTGAGCGATGCCAGTTGGGTAAGTTGTTCTTACTTTATGGAACATCCTATATAATAAGAGGAATATGCTAATTATCTATTACACCCTGAGGCTTAATATCCAACCATGTAATGACCGAATCGAGGATCTGCAGGAGGGTGGGGCAGCAAACTACAAGCAGGTGGTGGAGAGCTACAGGAGGGGGCAGGCAGCAAGCTATGAGGGGGAGCCAGGGGAAGCTACAGGAGGGTTGCAGCGACCTTCTGGAGCATGGATCCTTGTGCTAGTTATTCAATAAGTTTCAACTGTTGTTTAAGTATGTCTCTCAGAGTGTGTGTACTACCAATATAACAAACACATTACTACAAATTTTAAAATGTATGATAGAAGTCTCACTTCAACTACAAAAAACTAAGAGAACAGAACAGGGAAAGAAACTCTTATCAATTGTCTGAAACTTATATCACATTTAGGAAACTCAAAAGTGTTGAGGGTTCTCTGAAGAAATTTCAATTTAACTTGCCCTCTCCTTCTTTCTGTGTTTAAAAATTTTGTTAAGACTTCTTGCTATTTACAGCACAGTAAAGAAAAGACAAACATGGAAATAATTTCCCTTTTATCTCAACCTTTCCATTTGCTCCAACATATTTCCAGGAATTAAAAACTGTTGCAATTGCACTGGGAATAGAACGACTCAAGACCACATATGATACAGGTCATTCTGTCAGTAATTCATTCTTTAACTCTCTGCCGTAGGCAAAAAATCCTCTCAGTGCAGGTAATTTACTTTTATTTTTTAAAGAAACAGTCCTCCCAGAACCCGCTTCTCCTGACCCATCCTGCTCCTGGAGTACTGCTTTCTAGGGCTGCTATGCAATGGTCAGCCTACTGCTTTCCCTCACCATCCTGAGATTTTCCTTACTGTTTCTCTACATGGAATTCCATATTTGCTGGATCTCATGTTGTCTTCTTAGCTTGGCTTCTAGTTCCCAGTGCTACCATTAAGAAATGTGACAGCCGTCGAAACAGGTTTGGCTAAGTGGTAGAGTGTCGGTCTGCGGACTGAAAGGTCCTGGGTTCGATTCTGGTCAAAGGGTATGTGCCTTGGTTGTGGGCACATCACTGGTGGGGGGTGTGCAAGAGGCAACTAGTCGATGTTTCTCTCATTGACGTTTCTAGCTATCTCTCTCCCTTCCTCTCTGTAAAAAAATCAATAAAATATATTAAAAAAAAAAAAAAAGAAGAAGAAGAAATGTGACAGCCAAAACCGGTTGAGCTCAGTGGATAGAGTGTCAGCCTGGGGACTGAAGAGTCCCAGGTTCGATTCCGATTAAGGGCATGTACCTTGGTTGCAGGCACATCCCCAGTAGGGGGTGTGCAAAAGGCAGCTGATTGATGTTTCTAATTCTCTATCCCTCTCTCTTCCTCTCTGTAAAAAATCAAAAAATTATATTTAAAAATAAAAAAATGTGACATGAGAAACCTCATGCCATTCTGAGACCCTTTTTTTTTTTGTATGTGCCTTTATATGGTAAACTTTTGGAATCTTCTCTTTATCCATAGGGTTCTGAAATTTCATAACATACTTTGGTGTATTTTTCTCTCCTTCACAGAGGTCACAGTGAGTCCTTTCAATCATCTATCTCATATCCTTCAGTTCTGGAAATCTTTCTTATAATACTGCTTTGATGACAACTTTCTCCTATGTTTATTCAGTACTTTTTCTAGAAATCCTATGATTCAGAATATGTCTGATTCTTTCCTATTGTCTTTTTTACTTCCTACTGGGATTTCTTTAGCTTTGCTATCTATCCATTCTATTACATCTTTTTACAAATTCCTGCTTTTTACAAATTCCTCCAATCTGGGATATCCCTCTCACAATCCTGGACCACTGGCTCCTAACTACTCACCTGCCTGCCTGATCATCCCTAACTGCCCCCCTACCAGCCTAGTCACCAACTGTCCCTCCCCCCACCCCCCCACTGGCCTGGTCGCCCCAAACCCCCCACGCCAGCCTGGTTGCCCCCAACTGTCCCCCCCCCCCCGACCTGGTCACCCCTCAATATCTCCCTCTGCCAGCCTAGTAGCCCCTTACTGGCCCCCATGCTGGCCTGGTCACCCCTAACTACCCCCCCACATCTGGTCACCCCTCACTGTCCCCCTTTGCTGGCCTGGTTACCCCCAACTGCCCCCCCGCAGGCCTAGTTGACCCAAGAAGCCTGCTGCTTGGTCGTTTGGTCGCCCCTCACTGACCCCCCTGATGACCTGGTCACCCTACGTAGCCTGTTCGGTCATCTGTTTGTTTGCGATGGACACTTAGGCTTTTATAGAGAGAGTGGTAGTTGCTTAGGAAATGACTTATGATCACAACAACCTGGCGAACCTCATAACAAATACAGTACCTATTAACAGGCAGCCATTAAAATATTGTGCAAAGAGTGAATTCCAAGCAAGTCAACTCTTGAGAACCCATCACATTTAGTAAAATCACACATTTTGTAAAACAGATCATGGTCGCTTTTAAGAGTCTCATTCTGATTAATTCAGTTGTTGAATAATTTCAACAGCAACAAAGAAGAAAATACTAAGAGTCTAAAAACAACAATTAATAAATGTATACTATATTCAAGGAGTGGCAAACCTATATCTTCTAAGATGATATAGGCTATATATTAAAAACTAGAGGAAAGAAAAATTATAATCAAATTACCTTCTCTGTCTTTCTTTTTTAATCTTTTTCTCTTCCTGTCGATGGTTGCAACTTCAGACTTTAAAGACATGTAATATTTTCTGATTTCCTGTAGTTTTTCTTGGAGAAAAGAGATTCTCTCTGTACTGTTCATATTATCTAATTCATCTAAGAGTGGAAAATGTTAATTAGAATTTAAAAATAATTCTTTCAGGAAAAATATGGCAATTCTTCAGAAGTCCAACTTACAAATCATCAAAAGCTTTAGTTTATTAAAATTTATATTGTGCTAGTAAGTCTCTATAAACAGGGATGACATTAATTAATTTCAGGAATAAGATTTTTTTATGTAGCCCAATATTTCCGTACTAAGCATTACTTGATATTTTAAATGATTAAAAAAAAAGAAACATCAAAACACAGCAATGCTGAACTATAATTGTAGTTATTTATTCAAATAGCTTCTTTATGTTGATGGCTTTATCATTTACTAGTTATTTTCATATTAGAAAGGGTAATTATTTCATCAATTCATAATGTCTTATTCCTAACTGGAGATTTTCCTTCAGTGAAAAGTTAACAAGTTAGTATTATGAAATGACATGGATTTGTAACAAATGATGATTACTGATAAGACAGTATTTGGAAACTGAAATAAATGAATTTGATAGTCATTTATTCCTCATTTTGACATTTCAAGATATATACCACTTTACAATATACATTCAAGTTTTTTATAAGCTTCTTACTGAGTTGAAAGCTCCACTTATATGTCCTAGGGGATGAATTCAGATGTTTTTCTCTGTGTTTATTTTTTTCTCCATCTTTGATGTGAGGGGATATTCTTGCAGGAGATCGTGCAAGCTTCTGTGGCTTAGATACACCAAGATGCTTTACTGGGGTACATTTACTTGAGTTATCTTCACTATCACTACTTTGTCCTATAATAACAACAACAAATTGACTCAGATTAGAAAATATATAAATCTCAAATATCAATATGCAACAGAATCAGCAATTACACTTTTTGGTATCCTATAGAAATAAGTACACAATGTGCAAAGTTTTTTTGTTTTGTTTTTTGTTTTTAAAGGAAAATCTAAATGTCTACCTATAGGGAAATAGTTAAAAATAATATACTATTGAGTACTTTGCTAAAGTTGTTGAACAAGAATGAACTAGATATCTAATTTGGTTCAGTGGATAGAGCGTTGGCCTGCGGACTGAAGGGTTCCAGGTTCGATTCTAGGCAAGGGCACATGCTTGGGTTGCAGGCTCAACCCCCCCAGAACGGGGCATGCAAGAGAATCAATGATTCTCTCTCATCATTGATATTTCTCTCTCCCCCTTTCTAAAATCAATAAAGAAAACCTACTGAAACTATATATATATATGTGTGTGTGTGTATGTATGTATATATATATATGTATATATATATGTATGTGTGTGTATATATATATATACATATATATATATATGCACAAAGATAGATTAAAAAAAAAACAATACTTTTTTTTTGTTGTTATGGAGGAAGGGAGAGGGAGAAAGAGAAATATGAGAGAGAATCATTGATCGGCTGCCTCCTGCATGCCCCCTACTGGGGATTGAGCCTGCAACCCAAGCATGTGCCCTTGCCTGGAATCGAACCTGGGACCCTTCAGTCTGCAGGCTGACGCTCTATCCACTAAACCAAATCCGTAGGGCAAGAAAGATCTTGATTTACAGTCTTTAACATATGTATAATAAAATGTGAGCAGATATTTGTTTAAAACTCTACATCCCTCCTCACCTAATCTGTATTAGAGATGCTTTTGGTTTTCACTTAATAACAAATGAGAATTGCCCCTCAATTTTGCATTTCTGAAGCTCTATACCCTACTTCCACCCTATTCTCTCTCAAAAGCAAACCTTGCTTTCAAATGAAAAGGCATTTTCCCAGCCCCTCCCCTACCTGTATGTCCTCGCTGCCCATTTGGCTTCAAAACAAGAAAACCATTTCTGGACAAACTAATCTCTTTAGCTATACTCTTAAAACCATCTACTTTCAGCTTCTCTGGAATTCCCAATGTCAATTCACCATCTTCATTTAACTTCAAGTTTTCTCGGTCTACCAACATGCTTAGATGTTTCCTACCCTTAGAGAGGGAAGGGAGAAAAAGCTTTTCCCTTTACTCAGCACTTCTTTCCTTCTCTTTAAGGGCAAATTTCTTCAAAGAAATTCTCTGTTACCTTGATTTACACACCTTCTGATCACATCACTGTGCTATTATTACAGTCCCAAATACTTATGATGGCCAGATTCAATGACTATATATTTAAATCTTATTGACTATTCTACAGCATTTGGAACGCCTTTCTTACTCAAACCCACTCGTTTAGCCGAAACCAGTTTGGCTCAGTAGATAGAGGGTCAAGGTTCAATTCCGGTCAAGGGTATGTACATTGGTTGAGGGCACATCCCCAGTAGGGGATTTGCAGAAGGCAGCTGGTCGATGTTTCTCTTTCATCGATGTTTCTAGTTCTCTATCCCTCTTCCTTCCTCTCTGTAAAAAAATCAATAAGATATAAATATTTTTTAAAAACCACTCATTTGCCGAAACCGGTTTGGCTCAGTGGTAGAGCGTCGGTCTGTGGACTGAAAGGTCCCAGGTTCGATTCCGGTCAAGGGCATGTACATTGGTTGCGGGCACATCCCCAGTAGGGGGTGTGTAAGAGGCAGCTGGTCGATGTTTCTCTCTCATCGACGTTTCTAGCTCTCTATCCCTCTCTCCTCCTTTCTGTAAAAAATCAATAAAAATATATTAAAAAAACCAAAAACCCATTCGTTTACTGATTTCAATTTCTCTCAGATCAGTTTCAAGTCTACTCTTCCTGGCTGACCCATATAAAGAGATATCTTACATAACTATACTCTTGGTCCTTTTTCTTCCTTTTTTTTTCAATCACAGTTTACATTCAATATTACTTTGTATTAGTTTCAAGTACAGCATAATGGCTAGACAATCATATACATTACAAAGTGTTCCCCCTGATATTTACAGTACCCACCTGGCACCACACATGTACTACAACATTTCCTATGCTGTACTTTACTTTTTCTCATTTTGTTCTCCTATAGCAATCTCACTGTCTTGCACTCCTTTGACAACTATCTTCTAAAAACAAACTTTCTTCTAAGCTCAAGGCCCCAATTTTCCTAATACTGGGTCCTCTAACTTAACAATCCCTAAATTACTCTTACAACAACCTGGTAATGTTCCTGTGTTCAATATGTTAATTCCTCATAACGTTAACTGAGTTCTAGTGATTCTGTTTCCTTCCTTCACTGCCTTAGTTAGTTAAGCCAAAGATTCTTTCCAAAAAGTAAAACTCACCCCTCTCCTTTCCTCCTTTTCAATCTTTTTAACTTTTATTTTGAGAGCATTTTCAACTTTACAAAAAATTTATAAGTATAGCTGTCAAAAAAATGTTTTTCTGACCCACTTGAAAATTAATTGCCCTACCATATTTGAGTATTTTAGTGCTTATTTCTTTAAAAACAAGAACATTTTCCTATGTATAGTCATGGACAAATTACACCAAATCTTAGATTAAATCTTAAATTAAACAGATGTTTAGTATCTGAGGGTCAGACTCTGGGAGCAGCTTGGCTGTGTGGTCTGGACCGGGAGATCTGATAAGATTGCAGTCAAGCTTTTAGCTGAAGCTGTGGTGCCTGAAGACTTGACTGGAGCCAGAGGATATGCTTTCCAGGTGACTCATGTCATGACTGTTGTCAGGAGGCCTCAGTTTCCTGCTTGCTGTTGGCAGGATATGTTCAGTTCCTTACAACCTGGGCCTCTACATAGACTGTTTGAGTATCCTCACAGGATGACAGCTAACTTCTCCCAGAGAAAGTGATCCAAGGGAGAGCAAGGAGGAATTTATGGTGCCTTTTATGACTTATTCTCCAGAGCTGTAGTCTATCACTTCCACTTTGTTAGAAGTGAGTCATTAAATTCAGCCCACACTCTAGGGGAGAGAATTAGCTTTGTCTCTTGAGAATAGTATCAACAAATTTGAGGAAATGTTTTGAAAACCACCACACTCCTATGGAACCAAAATTCAACCATCAAAATCAGGAAATTAACACAAATATATTGCTATTGTCTAATCCTCAGGTCCATACAAGTTTCTCTATTTTATAGCAATAGGTTCCAGGTGAGAATCACACTTTGCATTTAGTTGTCACATCTCACAAGTCTCCTTTCAATCTGCAACAATTCTTCTTTCTTTGATTTTCATGACCTTGACAATTTTAGAAATTATTTTATAGAATATCCTACAGTTTGAATTTGTTGATCGTTTCTCATGATTACATTCAGGTCATGCATCTTTGAGAGGAAATCACAGATGTGTGCTATGTTCTTACTACTGCATTGTGTCGGATGGTACATAGTTTCAATTTGTCCCATTATTGGTGGTGCTCACTTTGATCATCTAACTAAGGTGGTGCCCACCAGTCTTCTCCACTATAAAGTTACTCATTTTCTCTTTGTAATTCCTGCTACCTTTCTAGTCTCATTTCCCATCTCTCTTTCTCTATACTCAAGTCCTGTATTGTCCAGCCACATAAAGGCTACTGAGCACCTGAAATGCCTTATATAAATTATATGCTCTTGCCGAGACCAGTTTGGCTCAATGGATAGAGCGTTGGCTTGGGGACTGAGGGGACCCGGGTTCGATTCCGGTCAAGGGCATGTACTTTGGTTGCAGGCATATCCCCAGTAGAGGGTGTGCAGGAGGAGGCTGATCGATGACTCTCTCTCATCGATGTTTCTGACTCTCTCTCTCTTCCTCTCTGTACAAAATCAATAAAATATATTTAAAAAAAAATTATATGCTCTTTCTTTGGCACATGTATCTAGTATAACCTAGAGCAGTGGTCGGCAAACTCTTTAGTCAACAGAACCAAATATTAACAGTACAACGATTGACATTTCTTTTGAGAGCCAAATTTTTTAAACTTAAACTTCTTCAAAATAGACTCACCCAGGCCATGGTATTTTGTGGAAGAGCCACACTCAAGGGGCTAAAGAGCCACATGTGGCTCACGAGCCGCAGTTTGCCGACCACGAACTTAGAGTATCCCTTTTAGACTTGTATGAAGGCAGGTTTTGAAGGTAAAACTTTAATTTGTCAAAATCAACCATGTTTATTTCTACTATATTCTATGACTTAATTTTATTCCTTATTGTACAGAAGTCTGTTTTTCATGTTATCTATTCATATGAACTAATTTTCTTGATTTTTATTTCCCTATGTTTTAAAATTACCAAACCATTTAGCAATTAGCTTTTCTAGATTTAAGAAAAACATCCCATTCAGAAATGTAAACTTAATCTGCTTGTACAACTACAGAAACTTTTATTCAAGTTTCCAAAATACATTCCTCTAATATTTAACTGCTTTACATAAAAAATACAAGTTGGCATAATAAATAATCACAGCTATTTTAATTGATAAACACCTCAGATTAAAAATTAATGGGAAAATTGCTATTTTAGAATACAATAAACCAAATTTATTTTTACATTGACACAAATGATCAAGCCAACGAATTGAGCATTGAAAAGCACCAACCTGCTCCATTCTTTTCATTTTTGGCTACAGCACTTGTTCGCTTTGGAGTACGCTTTTGCTTTTTTGCCAGTAATCCACTGTTTCCCTCACTTGGTCTTTTCTGACCTGAAAAAAAGGGAAAGAGATCTTGAAAAGTCAATAACAAGTATATGTATTCACTTGTACAAATGAATAATACATAGTTAAAAATAACAACATGTATATAAATGTCATACATTTAAAAAAAAGGGTAGGGGAAAGGAAATGGAGAGAGTAAAGAAGGACAGAAAAAAGGAAAGGAAGAGAGGGTGGAAGAAATGGAACATATTTTATAAATCCAGAGTTCCTAAACTCTTAATTTACTAATACTTGGTTTTAATATACGAGCTGATTTTCCCCCCTGTAAAGTCCTTACCCTTCTCTCTGCTCTCTCTTTCTTGAACAATTATACTACAGGCAGCAGAGGCGATGGTGTCTTCAAATCCATTTGCTGATTCCCTCTCACAGAGGGCTTCTTGAGATTCTTCAGCAATACTATCCACTTCTATGGTTATGTCACTCTCACTTTTTATACTTCGAGACTCATCTTGACTGAGAGTAAGTGGTGAAGCTACTGAAAAGTTATGCTGTACTACAGGAGGTAGGGTGGATGGAATAGAAACAAGAGAGTTAGACTCAGAGCTTTCAACTACTACATCCTCAACACTGGTCTTGTCCTTTTCATCCAGATCATCCAAATCCACTTCATGGCAAACCAAGGTTTCAGGCCCAATCAGAGGCATTGTATCCTCCTCTTCCTTCAGTGGAGTATTTACAGTTTCTTCAGCTGGACTATCAAATTTCTCACTAGTCAATTCCTGAATGCCTTTGTTTGACTCTGCTATCAAAGATGGCATTCCTTCATTTTCTATTTCAAAGTGTTGCTGAAAATTTAAGTTTTTCACTCCCTCAGATGCAACACAATCACTGGTCCTTTCTTGAGATATGCTATTTGTCATTTCCATTCCATTCTCAATTCTTGTTTTTTTCTCTGGTGATGAATGTCCCAGTATTTTCCGTTTCAACTTTTTTTCTTTTGCACATTGGTCAATTTCATCTTTAGTAGCAGAAGAAAAGTTTTTATTGTCTAGCGAAGGAAATTCTAGACTGTGAGTTTCTATATGAGATTCATTTCCTGCTTCATCTTGACTAAATGATGAAATCTTGATAATTTCTAAAGAAAGATCTTTTGTCTTGCTTCGTCTCCCTTTTCCTTTAGGGGACTTTTCTGCCTCTTTCTTAACTTCTTCTGTTTGTTCCACTTTATTTCCAAAAATCTGTACTATTTGTTCATTCTCTTCAATATCTAATTTCAAAGTCTCAAAAGGCTGCATTTGAGTCCTATCGTTTTCCTTTAATACATGTGCAGCAATCTTTGGATTTTCTTCATCTAGTTTATCATCATTTAAATTTTCGTTTTTTTCTAGTTCTTCTTTAATATCAGGAGAAAGTTCTTCATTCATCAAATTCTTTTCTAAAAGGTCTTCTGTTTCACTATCAGATGAACAAGAGTCTGCAAGAAGAAATATTAGAAAAGTTTCTATTTTAATTACCAATGTAATTTTGTAATAAAAATTCTGCCAAAGACAAAAAAACACACACAAACCTTACTCATGTACCTCTAAATACCTTCCTACAAAAATTTCTGATATAAAATAAATCATATACTTGTGCCAAAAACGTGTGTGGAGAAGTGTTTCAAGTTAAACTCCATGTAAAAATACATGACATAGAAAATATTACTATCTTAATTCTGTAAAAGAGCTATTTTGCAATTTGCACTATTATCATGCTTAGGCTATGATACTCCTTTGAAAATTCAAAGAACTGACACTTGAGATATGAAATGACAAAGTGGTTTGATCTGAGATCTAATGTAGGTAGTGATTAATAAATGTGATGGCCATTTTATGTCCTTAGGAATAAAATATGTTCACCTACACTCTAATCATTCTACCAAAAATAATTCTGGAAAGAAAGACATACAAAATGAGCAATGTGAATTCTCAAAATTTAAGTACTATTTTGATTAAGAGACAAAGAAATCATTCTAAGTCAGATAATTTTAAAAATAGTTTTAAGACTATATAGGAACAGTGGTCAGCAAACCGCGGTTTGAACTCTGTTGACTAATGTTTGCTGACCACTGGTATAGGAGCTGTAAAATATAAAAATTCTGTCCACATGGTGTTTATATTGTAAAGAAGATCAAAAAGGCAAACTTAAATGTATTTTGTAAATAAAAAGATACCTAGTTTTATTTTGTGATTTTACCATATACAGAATTTAGAATTCATTTGTTCTCATGTTAAAATATATTATACATTATAGACTTATGGTGTGGCTTCGTGGTTAGAGCGTCAGCCACATTATGAAGGGTTGCAGATTGAATTCCTAGTCATGGGGACGTACCTGGATTGCAGATTCAATCCCCAACCCGTCAGGGGCATGTGCAAGAGGCAACCAATCAATGTGTTTCTCACATTGATGTTTCTCTCTCTCTCTCTCTCTCTCTCTCTCTCTCTCTCTCTCTCTCTCTCCTTCTCCCTCCTTTCCACTCTCTAAAACCAACAGAGAAAATATGCTGGGTGAGGATTAATTTTTAAAAAAATAACCTCTTTTGTAAGTAGTTTAGCAAGACTACTATCTATAGTTTTATAGGTTATGCACTGCACAGCTCATATCACCTTAGATCTTTCACTCTGTGGACATGTTGCATTTGTTTAATATGGCAATCTTCCAGCAGATGGCAGTACAGAGAAGGAAGAATGCCCTTTCCTAACTGGCACACAAGCATTCTACAGGCTAACAGTAAAACTGTAGGTTCAAAATAGCTCTTTCTTGAAGGCACGAGCATTTTTATATATAAGGCAACTATTTAATGTTTCTTAAGTTATACAGAAAAACATAAAGATAGAAAAGTGGGGGGAAAGGTAAAAGCAGAATAAAATATGTTCACCTACACTCATCACAAAACATGTCTATACCACTTTAGTGTGTGCTCTTTGAACAAAGTCTCAGCTTTGCTGAAAGATTCTAGGGGATAGCACTGCATTACAGGAAACATGGTGTAAGCTTTGAAGGATAGTGCAGCACATAGTAGGATGCACATCTTTTCAACCTATCCTCTATTAAGAGTATTTCTAAGATATTGACAAGAAAAGGTATGCTTAAATTAAACTATCACTAGGTTTTAAGAAACCATGATATACTAAAGTAAATATTTTCTTCAAATCAAATTTAGTTTAAATTGCATATGAAATTAGAAACTTAGATGATCTTCTATGACTCTCAGACAACCAACATTTTTTAATTTATATATTTTTTTCTTAAAAATCAGTCCTCCTCAAAACTGAGCACCTTCCATCCCATTTGACAAAGGTGAGCTGACTGCCATATTGCTGCAAGCAATTCTTATACCTGATTTTCCGTCACTGTTTGGAATCTTAGACAAACCATATGGCATGCTTGATGAAAGGGTAGATTTTAAAGGAGGTCGTCCCCGTTTTGACTTGTGTCTCTCTTCATCCCTCTTTTCATCTTTTTCACTGTCTTCTTTATTCTGGATAATAACAACAAAAAGTATGAGAGGAGCACATTCCTCATGAAAAATGAACATTCTACAGCAAGGAAAATAAAACTCAAAAAGTTTAGCTATTTTATACGTTAATTTCCTAATCTGTGCTTATCAAATAATTAAAAACAAATTGTTCTCTACCATATTTTATAATTATATGAATATGATGGTCAATAATATCTAACACTGCAATTGTATTGTGAAGGTCAGAGTTGGTGCATTAGAAAGCTATACAACTACTCAGGAACCTCCCTCCCTTCTTTTTTGCTATTCCCTGAAAAAAAGAAGAAATATCTACCATAAAACAAACTTTAGTCGAATCTCCACAGCAAAGATAGAAAATTCAGTGTTTGGATAAGGATACAACTGTCCAACAAGTATACGTTTTAAAACTTAGTGTTAACTTCCAAAATTTAAAAATCGATTTCAAGCTGTGCAGGTGGTTCAGTTGGTTGAAGTGTTGTCCTGTATACCAAAAATGTTGTAGATTTGATTCCTGGTCAGGGTACATACCTAGGCTGTGGGTTCAATCCCCAGTCAGGGTGTGTTCAGGAGGCAACTGATCAATGTTTCTCTCTCACATCCATGTTTCTTTCTCCCTCTTCCTCTCTCTCTCTAAAATATCAATAAAATATATCCTGGAGTAAATTTTTTTTTTTTAAGTCAGATTTTACATTTTAAAAAGTACTATTGTTGAAAATCCTTAAGTCTGGCAACCCTGACTGGATCCCATTGCAAAAGGGTTAGTACTACCCTCTCTAGATGAGGAACATGTCCTTCTATTGGTCACTATCAGTCCTACTTTATCCCTTTTCCAGATAGCAGATATAGGCATTTGAGTTTAATGCCTATGTCCTAGGAGTCTCTGGTTTTTCTCCTTTCCTGAAACAACATGTTAATGTGTTTGCATTTTTAGCTTCTGGGTTATAACAGAGAAAATCACAATTAATTTAAAAGAATCAATATGATTATTACAGTGGGGAAACAAATTTATAAACACACAATATGAGTAATTCCTGTGCCTATCATAAAGGATATGATCTATGATCTTACTTTAGTTTTTTTCTTCTGTTTTTTCTTTGGTCCACCTTTGTCCAAAGGCCAGATTATCCTGTCAGCTTTCACCCATTCATCATACCTTAAAATAAAGAATATATTTTAAAAATTCAGAATAATAACTTATTTGAAATATATTCATCAAATAAAGCAAAGTGGGATAAACTGAAGACTTTGCTTCTACCGTGTTTCCCCGAAAATAAGACATCCTCCGAAAATAAGACCTACTTACAGGTTTCCTTCTGAGTGAAATATAAGGTATCCCCCTGAAAATAAGGACCCCCCCCAGGCTAAACATGACAGATTTGGTCCACTGATTCTGAAAGAAATGGAGTCACAAGAAATTCACCAGGAAATTCAGGAATTGGATTGTTATGATGATGTTCCAGAAGATGATGTCATGATTGTCATTGAATAAATGAGTAAATTCTTGATACTGTAGGATTCACAGTTTGTCTGGTTTGTGTTGACAACTACCGTACTACCGTACCATATACAGGTAATAAATTTCCTTTATTTCATTCAACAATAAATGTGTACCATATTCTTCTTCATGGAAAAATAAGACAGCCCCTGAAAATAAGACCTAGCGCATCTTTGGGAGCAAAAATTAATATAAGACACTGTCTTATTTTTGGGGAAACAGGGTAGTGTTGGCAGAAATGTGAAGGGCATAGGGGCTGGTTTGTTGGTAACATATGCCAGCTACAGTACTAAATGGTCTGTATACCTGCCATTAATAGGATAAGACAAGAGAGCTAGGCAAGCAAACTCCAAATAGATTTAAGACTGTTTGAACTGTTTTGTTTTCCACAGCTCCCACAGACCTGAACTTTATGCACTGGAATTCATTTTACTGACCAAATAATTTAAAGATAAGTCAAGTAAATTCAAACTTGTAACATGATTAGTTCCAGATTCATTTATGAAGTCCTTTTTAACTCTTTTCCTCACAGAACTCTCTCCAGCCTCTAGTATGTCTAACAAAATTTTATTTTGAGCCGGGACCGGTTTGGCTCAATGGATAGAGCGTCGGCTTGGGGACTGAAGGGACCCGGGTTCAATTCCGGTCAAGGGCATGTACCTTGGTTGCGGGCATATCCCCAGTAGGGGGTGTGCAAGAGGCAGCTGATCGATGACTCTCTCTCATCGATGTTTCTAACTCTCTATCTCCCTCCCTTCCTCTCTGTATAAAATCAATAAAAAATATATTAAAAAAAAAATTTTATTTTGAACTATGTCACCTCCAAAACTGAATTTTTTTTAGCGATATTTCCTTCATATAAGTTTATTCTATTTAGTTCAAGTTGAAAACTCATTTCACCCGTACTTTTTCCCTAATATTGGCAACACTTTTTAACATTAGTCAGCCCATGTTACTAATCAGGGGCAAAATAAAAAATTAAACTTTCTAGAATTAAATAACAGTTCTTACATAATGAAAATATATAGATATTTATAGAACTCTATCACAATCCAAAATCTGAACACTGAAGCAAAAAACTACAGGCAGTTCTTGCTTTGAACTACGTCATGTTAACAGAAACCATACCCTCATTTTGCAACCCAGTTACCATACAAAGCAAGGACATGATTCCAATATCCACAAGTTATGGTTGATATGGCATCATGACTACCTATATTATGGTTTGAAAACAATCTCTCCTGAACCAATCCCATATCTTCATTTACCAGGCTAAGTATCTGTACATTATGACCTTACTTAGAAGTATACATTTATTTGGACATTTACTGAGGACCTACCTAGCATGCCAGGTAGTATATATGAGGAAATATCCTATCTAATAAAAGAGGGAATATACTAATTGACTGTCACACCCTCACAAAGATGGTGGTACACATGGTCAATAGGAGGGAATATGTTCATTGACTGCCACATTCTCAAAGATGGCAGTGCCTATAGCCACAGGATGGAGGTGCCCAGTTCTTTCAGGTCCCAGCTGCCCAGGGCTGGCCCAAGGCACAGGCAAGCCTCAGATAGCAGCTGCCCAGCCGCTTAGGGCTCAGGTAACCAGGGCCGAGGCTTACGCTGCCAACAGTGGCAGCAGCAGAGGTATGATGGGCGTCACCTTCCCCTGATCACTGTGTTGCCTCCTGCCTCTGAGGGCTCCCAGACTGAGAGAGGGGAGCAAGCCGGGCTGAGGACCCCCCCACACACACATACTCCAGGGCATGTATTTTCATGCACTGGGCCTCTCGTGTACAGACTAATAGAGAAAAGCAGGAAGGCTCTTGCAATTATGCAACTCGCAGTCTGATTTGAAAGACAGATAAATACTAAAACCAAGTATAGTCTGGTAAATATACTAAAAGGGTTATATGTCTGGTTATGGGCTAACAAAGAAAAAGTAAGTGTCTCTGCCCAACTCTAAAATTCCACAGGACATATGAGACAACCAGCAAGCACAGGCCTGTCCTGGAAGACAGCAGGTTCTGGTCACCACCCTATGCCACATAGGCACTTCCAGCATTAATAATGCCAACCAAAGGTGGTCCAAGAGTTTCTCAACTCAGACTAGTATTTCCCTCATAGTTTCACATGCCATCCTATTTTAGAAATCCAACCAGATTCTCTAGGAACTACAGTGGCTCTACGTCAATGAGCACACTAGAATTATAACAGCTTTTAGGGGTATGAAGGGGCAGTGAAAAACATGAACCTTGTGAGTAACCAGTTAAGTAACTATTTAAAGACTTAACTAGTTAGGAATAATGCCAGCATATAATAAAATGTCTGTGAGAATGGTCATACAGTAAAACATTAAACAATTGAAAGAGAGAGATCATAGTAAGGGAAAATTCTAGAAAGCAGAACAGAAGAACAGACATACAAAGACAATAAATAAGAGTAGATGACTGAAGTGAATAGAATCTGAGGAAAAAAGAAGACTTCAATATGCAATAACTGCAAAGATAGCGAATCAAAGTTGGTAAATGTAGGCTTTCCCCATGAACAACAAGTACATACAACAGTGAGGTAGACTAGGTTTGTTTCTAATGTTTGTAGAAATGTGAAATACACAAGCTGGTTTGAGGGGGGGAAAAAAAAGGTTTATATGCAATAAACCCATACTTGAATAATATTTTATATATGATAAACCCAAACTTATTTAAAATGATGTGAGATAAAAGAAACCTAACTCACTAAAAAAAAAAAAAAAAAAAAAAAAAAAAGTTAACATTTACTTGTGCATTTGCTAAGTGCCAAGCATTATTGTAAGAGCACTCTGGTTCCAAACGAATACAGACCAAGCAGAGAGATTAAACACACAAGCCTTCTAAAGGAGAAAGAAAACTAGCAATCAGGTGGACCTTGGTATTGCTACAGAGGTGATCTGGCATACAGCTAGATTGCATTGTTCTCCTGTTGAACATGAACAATTTCACAGAACATCAACATCAGGTAAGTTTTGCAACATGACTGTGATGAATCAAGCCAAAAACAAAACCACCCCCATAAGGGTATGTAAACACAGAAAAAACGGGAACATTGTTCAACCCACAAAAATGACCAAACCTCCTTTTTTTCCTGACTGACTACAGACTCTTTACCAATTTCAGCATTAACAATGGTTTAGTCTTCCCTTCTTATGGATAACATTTATTATGATGACCGATCATAGAATTAGCCCTATGTCTTTACAGCTTCTACTCTAGAGGAAAGCACCATTTCCTTAAAACACTTCCCCAAATCACCTAATAGAGGTTCAAATCTAAGACCTTCCTAACACTTTTCTAAAGTAATCAATTTAGAATTACTACAATGCCTAATGTAGTTTTGATTTCCAATAAATGTAATAAACAAACCCATTTGTACTGTTGGGAGCTATGGGCCTGGTTCTTCGCCCAAACCTGCAGGATTTTCTCAGAGAATCCTGGGCTATGGCTCTCCCCAAAGGTGGTACTCTGGGCTTTCATCTAACACCCTCTTACAGAATCGCCTCACAGCTCTCCATGCTGCACATTCTTCCTCACTACAAATGAGTAATATATGCAACTTGTTCAACTACAGGTATGATCTAGGCAACTTTGGCTGGAGGCATTGGCTAGTAAAACAATGGGAATGTAAAACAGTAGAAATCTTGGAAAATTAGGGTACAAGATGTGCTTTGTAAATATACATATACCATTTGCAATGACTCTTCACAACATTAATTTGAACTTTTTGAATCTCTGAAAAGAAATTTCAATAGAAAGAAAATACATTTCTTGCTTACCTCACATTCCAACCATAGTAATGTACCAAATATAAAACTTCTCCATCATCAATTTCAGTGCTTTTAATACTGGCTTCATAGATTTTCTGCGTTTTCCCCCGTCCATATTTTACTTTTACTTTGGTTCCTGTTAGGCAGGGTTCCATATCTTCCTCATCTTCCTCTCCTTCAGAGTCACATTTGCTTTCAGTTTCTTCCCTGCAGTAAATTGTAACATTGATAATGCTACTAATAGCTTAATGGAGAACTAATATATGTAAAAAAAAAAAAAAAAATCCAACATATGCAATAGTCACAACCTAAATATTACCTTAATAGCATGTCAGTGGAGGAGGAGAAGAAGGAGGAGAAGGAGAAGATTTTTAACGGACTACTTACTAAGGAATTTATTTATTATGTAAAGGTGCACTGTACCAAAAGTAAATCCAGACTTTTTAAAGGCCAATCAATAATATAATTAAATGATGATGTGGAGTCAAATAAATCACTTTTGTTAAACAAAATAAGAATATGCTCTAAAAGCCTTTGGAATTCACACTCAAATGTCACTTTATATTCAAAAATTATCTAAAAGTAGTCTGTAACTTCCTGCAACTAAATTTTTTAAATCTACATTACTATTGCTTTCTACTCAACTTAGAATTGTTCTTAGCAAGACTACTTTTTGGTGGATAAAATAATAAAAAGAGCCATCTACCTTAGTAACCAGATCTTTTAAACTAGTTTATATTTTATTTTTTGGTTTCCCTATCCTAACAAAGAAACAATAGATACTTGAATATCAGGTCACTAATTGAAACTGTGGGATAGCACGAGGAGAACAAAGCTATGTGTATCTTTGTCTTTAGAGCACAAGTGCTATTAAAATGGTGCAAACAGTATATTTTCTGTTTTTATTCATCTCCCATTAGCTTTTCTTTGTTTTGATAATCGGGTAAAAGGAGATTCAAATTGGGAGGTCCAATAATATTTTTACAAATAATCATCCTGTGTTAATACTGCAAGGATTCCAAAGAGATCTGCATCAAAGGCCATTCTAGTGTCACAAGAGTATTATTAAGTGCTTAAGAGAAGGCATTGTGCTCTATAATAAACATAGAGCATTATTTTGAGGACCACTGGGCAGTTAACATGAAATAGCTTTGACAACCCATTGCCTTGAGAATGTTTTTCCTCCAAGGGCACCTTCCAATTACAGTCTGAAAGGGTAATTTCAAACACCATGAGAGAAACTACTTAAAACAAATTTCTACAGATATGTCTCCCATTTCCATGATTCCTGCTACAAAATGAGAATATAGATTTGCATATTCAAATTTAATTTTATAAAAAGAAATACTGTTCTTCATTTATGTCTGAAATTTTCTCTAAAATATGTCTCATTTATATTTTATATATGTATTGTGTGTTTTCTGTATTATACTAGAGGCCTGGTGCACGGATTTTTGCATTGATAGGAAATTAATTAGAAAGTGGTCCATGGGGCAGGACTGGGCGGCTGGACATGCCCTGGAGCCAACTTCCCATGGTCCCTCCCTGGTCAGCAACACCTGGGGTGGCACTGAAGCTTGAAGGGTGTTTGCAGAGAGAGTGGGGTCCCTCTGGCTGGTGGGGTCCCTCAGCCTGGCCTGTGGGGATCAACTGGCAGTCTGACATCTCCTGAGGGGTCCTGGAGAGCAAGAGGGCAGGCACTCTGCAAAGCTGCTGTCACTCGTCAGCTCCTATGTTGAGCATCTGCTCCTGGTGGTCAATGAGCATTATAGCTATCAAGTCACTCAGGCTTTTATATAGGGATATATATATATATTTATATACATATTGATATTATATTAATTATACATTATATTACATTATATTGCTTATTAACAAAACTTCAAACTATAATTAAACCCCACTTTTTAAGTTGTTCACCCTTGCTTAAATTTTTGTCCAAATATTTGAAATACCATTATACACAATAATACTCGACTCCAATTACTTCCTTCCACTTTTCTTAATCCTAATTATATTTCACTACAGAACTTTCCTTATTCACTAATCTAATTCACACACATTTGTGATAGCTCCCATACTTATTTGTACTGAATCATAAAATTACCTCTTCGCTCAGCAGTCATTCCTATTTTCCTAAATATTTGTCCACAGTTAACTTTCAGATGGATGTCAGCCACCAGTTGAACACAGCAGGCTACTTTTCCCAAATTTTACTCGACAATTCAAATTTCTAGAAAACTCAGCATCATATAATGTAATAAATGAAAAAATAACTATGGAGGCGAGCTTATATTACAAGTGTGTTATGCTGTTGTTGCTGAATTTTTTTTTAGTAGTATATAAAAATTAGTAAATCTATTTGACAACACAGAAATGGCCAACTAAACACCGTCGGATATTACTTTGATCTAGCTGAACTGCCTAATTGGTAATTTTTAAGTCAATTCAGTCCATACATGTATATAATACACGGGGGGGGAAAACACAGTTTTCACTCAACAGCAAACAGGATGGACATTAAAAGGCTGAAATTTATTGGTGTGATGTGGGGCAAGAATGTATTTTCCAAACAAGAATAAGGGGTGCATGCCACTTAATCTAATACAATAACTTGAAAAAGAAAAATGTCTTAGATAAAGCTAACACACAGAAACATCTGCTAGTATTGTGCACCCATGTGTTTGTTAGCTTTCCCACATTGTACCTTTTTTAAAATGGAATTTTTGCTGTCGCTGTTTCCTCTTGTCCACTTCCTCCATTTTTCTCCAGCTCCCTTCCCTGCTGTCAACTGCAGGACCTTTCTTTTGACTGGGTGGCGCAGCCTTCTTTGAGGCCACTGTTTAGGGCACAAGTGCTATTAAAATGGTGCGACCAGTATATTCTCCAATTCCGAAAGGCGATACACATCATCTTCACAATGTGTTTCACCTTCATTAGACAAGAGGAATGGAAGTCCCAATAAGAAAACATTCCCTCAAACCTGAATATCTAAGCAGGAACGGAGCACTGCCGTGCCCCAGACAGGTGCTTCTGGAGAACAAATATAAGATATTGTACCTCTCTTGGTTTTTCTCTTCCTCTTCATCTGAGTCTCTGTCAGAATCCTCCTGCTTTTTAATTTTCTTCTCCTTTTGCTTTGGTGTATTTTTTCTCCCCAGTAGTAGCTCATTTTCTTTTTTCTCTGCAGTTTCATAGTCATCATTCACATCCTTACTTTCTGTATCATTATCTTTTAATTTATCTTCTGTTTTCTCTTCTTCAATTTCCTTTTTAATAGAATTTGCATCTCGAGCAATTCTCCTTCGTCCCTAAATAGAAAGTACAGAAGCTTTAAAATAGCTATCACTACAAAGGGGACAGGAACTGGACAACAGAAAATGTGTTTGTTGGCTTTTAAACATTCATAGCAATGACTAATCTCTCTAGCTTGAGCAATAACAGTGACAACGAAACTCCTATATACTTCTCTTCTTCTTGAAAATAAAATAATACCTCATGTAAATTACTTAATTATGTCCAGGACTACAGTGATCCTTAGCTACAGATTACTTAAAAAAGAAAAATGGCCGAAACTGGTTTGGCTCAGTGGATAGAGCATCGGCCTGCGGACTGAAGGGTCCTGGGTTCCATTCCGGTCAGGGGCATGTGCCTTGGTTACAGGCACATCTCCAGTGGGGGGTAGGCAGGAGGCAGCTGATCAATGATTCTCTCCCATTAATGTTTCTAACTCTATATCCCTCTCTCTTCTTCTCTGTAAAAAAAAAATCAATAAAATATATATTTTTAAAAATGTTCTTTGTTCATTACAATATTTATCTCACTTTTAGTGTTTCTTGACTACAATAGAAGTTTTTAAAGCAGCATCTAAATGTCAATGAGATAAGTTGATAATAATAAACCAACCCCCTAACTTATATATGGACTTTTAAAAAGCTCTGTGGTCTCTAATTCTTTGTTTGTTTTTTAATGAAATTTATATTTTCACTATAGCTATGTATGGCTACATTTTAAAAAGGACTGACTTGCTTCAATGGCCAGAAGTGAGCTGATTTCTTTGAATGAATATCTGAAGAGTTCACTGGGCCTGCATTGTATTGTTCTGCCCCAGTAGCTTTTACTCCACCTCTTGTTGCATACTCAACTGAACATGAAACTGGTGAGCTATTTAATTATTTCCTAAATTCTTCTTCAAGTCAACCTTTGCACACTGGCAGGATTCCCCTCTACTTGGAATAAAGTGAGGATAAAAGATACCAACAATTTAGGGACCACTGAAACACTTTACAATTAATATCTCAGTATAACAAATATTTCCCTTAGTTCTTGACTATGTATTAAACTTCAAAGGTAGAAATAAAAAATTTATTTTTCTTTTAACAAAGAACTAAAATTTACATTCCATAAGGTCAGGGACTTGATAATACTCACTTTTGTATTCTCAGATCTATACAGTGCCTGGCACATAGCAGATGCCCTTTAAATATTTGTATGTATGAATGAAAGTTATTATCTATTAAAATTTAGGTCTATATACTTTTGTCCCTGAAATCCAAGTTTCACAAATCTGCTCTCTATATTCAGCTACATTAGGACATTTTTACAAGCACATTTACTGCAGCTCTTCTTATAATAGTAAAAAATTGGGAAAAATCTCTAGGAAGTAAATTTATGGTACATCTACAGTACAGGACTCTACAATACAATACAATACAATACAATACAATACAATACAATACAATATAAATGCTTTACATGATATGAAGATGATGGTTGTACAAAAACGTGTAGTTAATGCTACTGAACTTAATATTGGTTATAAATTTTGTTATGTGTATTTACCACAATTTCTTAACACACATTCTTGCCACAATTTTCAAAAATTAAAAAAATGAAGAGAGACAAACCAATTTGGATGTTTCCTAAAATTCACTAGAAAATTCCATTTACTAGATGACCGTCAGAATAGACAGTTTTAGAAAATAGTTTCTGGTTAAATAAAAGAGAAGGTGATTTCAACCTCCTCTTTCATCGATATGATTTCACTAAAAAGTAAGATGTATTATAGTAACTGAACTTTGATAGTGTGATAAATTTTCTTTCTCCTAAATTTTAATAAATACTATTATGTAGACATCATTCATCAATGACCAAAACAGTAGGTGACAATTCTTATAGAAGACTTATAGTTATGGAGAGGAAGAGTAGAGTTAGAAGATAAATCCAGTGTACACATGACTAGAAAACAAGGCAGATTAAAAAAATGGCCACAAGCACTGTACAATATGCTATCGAGTAACACAGAGAAAAGACTCCACCTGGTTGGGAGCACAGGCGTTGTCAAGAGGAGATTCATTCATGCAACAACTATTAAATAAGTCCTCATTTTGTGTCAGGCACTATTCTAGATGTCTGGGAACTGTCAATGAATAGAGTAGACACTAGTCCCTGCTCTCCTGAAGTGTGATTCTAGTGCAGAGAGGGGTAAACGAAACAAGATATACTAAACAGAATAAATGTTACATATAAAAAGAGCAACATTAGAGGGAATGTGCAATAAATATTTGACCTCAGATGAGAATGACTTAAACAAAAACAGAAAACAACAGGAGAAATGATTTCTCAGGTAGAAGAGATAATAAGTGATATATTTAGAGAGAGATAGCTAGATTAGCCAGGCTAACACACATAACTAAATACTGGAAAATAAATTAGGTTCATTAGAGTATTTTTGTATGTATCTGAATGAGTCCATAATAAAAAATGTTAAATAATTTTTTAAATAAACCAAATAGTTTAAGTACTTACACGTAGAGATTTTAATTCTATTTCTTCTCTTTCACTTTCACTGTTTGAATCAATATTTTCCTCGGGTTCACTCTTTACTTCTACTAAAGGCATTTCTTGGTCTAGTTTTAGAGTCTCTTCCATTGATTCTTCTAAGTCTTTTTTTTCCTCTTTTACTTTTGGTTCATGGTGGTGAATAGTTCTGAACTGAATATTTGCAGAACGGCAGTACTCTTCAAAACCATAGAGATACCTAAACAAACAGTATTTCTCTTTGATAAATCTTAGTCTTTACTTTTAACTTGACTACTGTATTATTAAACACACATTTTTAAAAAGTAAAAGTCAAGCCTTTCTTTTTGTAAAGTACTTTTTCTATATTACTAAATAATTGGTGTTTTAAAAAGAATTATAAACAGAAACATTGATCATAAAATAAAATTCCTAAAAAATATAAGCTTGTGATAACTGAACATAGTCATTGTGGTTTTGATCTGAAAGTTATTCACCCAAAAGATTCAGCTCCATAACATTTACCATCATTTTAGAAGATAAATGCTGCCTACATCCCTGATTTTGGAAAGGAAATTAGGACAACACAAAAAATGGAGCATAGCAGACTTGGTGCACTGAAATAACTTTCAATCACAATCTATTAACCTAAACTTTTTATACACTTTCTCCAACCTTAATGTTTTTATTTGTTAACCAAATAAATGAAAAATATTCCCTGTAAATATGTATTATTTGATGAGTAAACTATGCTACTTACTTTCTATAGGCAGTTTTTACATTGTAGGAAGCAGCTGAATTCAAAATAGGAATTCCAAGGTCCATATAAATTTGCTTCCATACAGCACCACTATCAATCTGGAAAATTAAGTTTTTATTTGTTAACATTTGCAAAGGAGATCATCTTTATAGTAATATTCTATGTTACAAAAATGTGCTTTATCATCTAAAGTACATAAAACAGTGAAACATTAGGTAATTTAACGTCTTCATTTCCTTACTTACTTTGTCACATCCACCCTGATGATAAACCAGTCTAAAGAGTTTGAAGAGATTGAGATCTTTATAGCCCAAAACAGGTGGTTTGTTGATTGGAGTACCTATTTTTTTATGGAGGGTAGAAATAATGTTTAATCAAATGGAAAAAACTAAGGTAAAAAAGCTATCAATTTCTAATTTCCCAAATTTCATTAATCAGTGGATATATTTAAAAACCTTAATTTTTTAAGTAAGACAACACAAAATGTTTATATTCTTGTGGTAGTCCTTAGATTTACTTCCACAAATAATAAAATCACCTCTCTAATTACCACTGAATTGGTAAAACTAAATTAAACCTTAGGACTACAAGGTGTAGCCAATAGTGTTGTTGGTTCAAAAAGGTTGGGCAAGAATACACACAATGTAAAGGGTATATTTTAGGCCATGATTCCATTTTCTCTGTTTTAACACAAATGTTAAAACTGTTAGCAGTGATCCTAATGATGATTTCTGAAGGCCACAGTGTATGCAGGACAACTTACCTAAGGGTTTCTCAGAACTAATGTTACTTCAAGAATTATGATGATTTCTGAGGGTTCTATTTCTTCTAACTCTAAAACTTTTATTTTTTTTAACTTCTAAATAGAAATCCTATTCTATTAGATAGGAACTGATCTCCTATTACGTTTAATTTGTTGAGAACAAGGATCAGGCTAGTTTACTTGCCACAAAGACAGTATTAGTTAGTTAATGGGTATGTAGATTAACATTATGTCTGTTAACTTTTTATTACCGAAATATTATATGTTTTGGTTTTACAAGTCCCAAGGAAACTAAAACCAATTGTATCAAAACTATTTTCCTATATATTTCTGCTCAAAATAGATTTGAACATTGTTTTTATTACCAAGTACTTAATTACTGTCAGGTATTACTTTAAATCCAAATCCATATATATCCATGATTCTAACAAAAACAATGTATAAACCTAGAATTTAAAAGTGTAAAAGGAATGACTTCTTTTAATGAATGAGCATGAAAGTACCTCTGTCTTCCATAAACTTATAAAGCTGTTGGAGGAAGTTGTCCCTCTCTTCAGGATCAAGTTCTTCCTCAGGCTGTAAAGGTAAAATATACAAATATGTAGAACAATGAGTAGGATGAAATACACGACTTCTTTTTGTTGTTTTGTGAACTCAATGTAAGGGGATAAAATTTTAATGAAGGCAGAAATAGGGATTTCCTCAAAATCCTACAATGCCAGATTTTAAGTCATATTTTGATAGAGTTGATTTGACGCAACTGTCAAAATATAATTATTTACCCTCAAAATAAAAGAATTTAAAAAATATCAATCTCTACCCTTCATGCCATTTATCACTCTAACCCTACCCTGAGTATTATTACCATAAGGACTAAGAATTAGTCATGAGAAATTAGCCATGAGAAAAAGGCTCAAGAATGAAATGGGCTCAGAGTGTTTTCAACTCACTTGGTTTTTGTTTTGTTTTTAATCTATTATAATATCATGTGACCTGTAACAAATATATTGATAGATGAGCACACTAATTACAAATGTATTTATTATAAAAACAACCCACACAAAAACATCAAAATTTTGTTATTGCTGAATGAATATAACCCAAAGGTTGCAAAATTACATTGCAAAAATTTTCTGTTTGGAAGCACCATATTTGTAAAAACTTTAAATGCCTTGCCCTGGCCAGGCGGCTCAGTTGATTGGAGCATCTTTTGGTGCAACAAAAGGTCACGGCTCCATCATCCATCGAGACAGTTACAGAAGGAACAGATTAATGTTTCTCCCTCTCTCTCAAATCAATAAAAACATACCCTTGGGTGAGGATAAAAAATTTTTTTTAAGCCTTTAAATGAGTCATATAAATTGTTTTGCCCCTGACTCTATCCTCCCCTCTTATCACACTGGCCTGCTTTTCTGATTTGCCTAGCATCTGTATTGACTTTGTGACCCCTGAAAATAAGACAATGAACATTTTTTTATGAAAGAAAACTAAATAAAAAATTGCTCATTCATTGAGAAATGGTGTAGAGGAATGAATGGAAACATTCTTGATAAAGCAACTATTTCTACAAATACCTATTAAAGTGTAACTTTTTACTAATTATATAAATTAATCATTTCTTCTTATGCAGCTTAGGTTTTTGGCTCTAGTAAAACAACTGGTTATGAGTTTCAATAAAATATTCCCTTTTCAGATAGGCTACTTGTAAACTAGTATTTCAGAACATTTTTATTTTTATTTTATTGATTTTTTACAGAGAGGGAGAGAGAGCTAGAAACATCGATCAGCTGACTCCTACACACTCCCTACTGGGGATGTGCCCACAACCATGGTACATGCCCTTGACTGGAATCAAACCTGGGACCTTTCAGTCCTCAAGCCAACGCTCCATCCACTGAGCCAAACCGGTTTTGGTGGGAACATTCTTATTTAAAATTCATTCAGAAAGATTTATAAATTGGAGTTCTTTCAGTTTTATCAAATATTGGGTCGGCAGCTAAGTAATTGCGGGTTTCACACACATATGGCTTCAGTTGAATTTTTAGGTTTGCAGACGTAGTACAAATGTAAAACACATTTTGTTATTTGATAGTTGGCTATTCAGCTGTTAATCAGTAAAAAAAGTTTTTTGATCTGTTTTGTAGTTTTCGTTTGGCGTTCGTTGAAAAATGGAAAATCAAAAGGAACATTTTTGTCATATTTTGCTTTTTTATTTCCGCAAAGGGAAAAACGCATCCCAAGCTCATAAAAAGTTATGTGCTGTTTATGGTGACAAAGCCTTAAAAGAACGGCAGTGTCAAAATTGGTTTGCCAAATTTCGTTCTGGTGATTTTTCACTCAAAGATGAAAAACACTCTGGTCGTCCAGTTGAAGTTGATGACGCCCTAATCAAAGCAATAATCAATTTGGACTGTCACAGTACAACACGTGAGATTGCAGAGAAGCTTCATGTATCACATACATGCATTGAAAATCACTTAAAACAACTTGGCTATGTTCAAAAACTCGATACATGGGTTCCTCACGAACTGAAAGAATCACAGTTAACGCAACGCATTAGCAGCTGCGATTTGCTAAAGAAACGTAATGAAAATGATCCATTTTTAAAACGACTGATAACTGGCGATGAAAAATGGGTTGTTTACAACAATATCAAGCGGAAAAGATCGTGGAGCAGGCCAGGTGAACCAACTCAAACAACATCAAAAGCTGATATTCATCAAAAGAAGGTTTTGTTATCAGTTTGGTGGGATTACAAAGGAATTGTCTACTTTGAACTCTTACCACCCAACCAAACGATCAATTCTGATGTCTACATTGAACAACTAACGAAATTAAACAATGCAGTTAAAGAAAAGTGGTCCGAATTGACAAATCGAAAAGGTGTTGTATTCCATCATGACAATGCAAGGCCACACACATCTTTGGTCACTCGGCAAAAATTAATGGAGCTTGGTTGGGATGTTTTGCCACATCCACCATATAGTCCTGACCTTGCACCATCTGATTACTTTTTGTTTCGATCTTTACAAAACTCCTTGAATGGTAAAAATTTCAATAATGATGATGATGTCAAATCGTACCTGATTCAGTTTTTTGCTAATAAAAACCAGAAGTTTTTTGAACGTGGAATTATGATGCTGTCTGAAAGATGGCAAAAGGTCATTGATCAAAATGGGCAATACATTACAGAATAAAGTTATTTAGTTCCATAAAAAAATTGTCTTTGATTTTCTTTAAAAAATCCGCAATTACTTAGCTGCCGACCCAATATAAAGAAACAAGTCAAAATTCTACTAAGCCTCAAAATAGCAATTTACAAAGTTAATAGGAGTCATTAATAAATGCTCAAATCGCCGAAACCTTTCCCTTTCCCTTCCTCTGTGTAAAAAAAAATCAATAAACTTTAAAATAATAAAAATAATAAATGCTCAAATCAGCATTGGCAGTTCTTAATACTGTATGTCAACTGTAATTGAAAAATAAATTGTTTTATTTTGCTAATCCTCATCTGAAGATATTTTTTCCATTTATTTATTTTTTTTTTAGAGAGAAAGGGAGGGGAAGAAAACATTGATGTGAGACACACACATTGATTGGCTGACTCCTACAATTGCCCAGATGTGGCCAGGAATCAAATCTGCAATCCAAATACATGTCCTTGACCAGGAAGTGAAACTGCAACCCTTTGGTACTTGGGCTGACACTCTATCCATTGAGCAACATTGGCCAGGGTAAAAAGTAAATTTTACAAAAGAAATATATATACCAAAAAAAATAGTATTTTTCCCCATGTGAATTACAACATCTTGCTTTTGCAAAATTATTAATACAACTGCCTAACACTATGCTGTACACATGAAACTAATACAAAATAATACTGAATGTTAACTGTAACGGGGGGGGGGGGGGGAAACCTGCCAATGAGTTAACTCAAGGAAAAAAGAAATCTAGTAGCCAAGAATCATTTCAGATGTTAATTTTAAGGACTTTCAGTATGGGGCGGGGGGGGAAACAAAAACACTTTAGGCCAGACTGGCTCTATGCTTTGCTTGGGCTTTGTAATCACAATATTCTCTCCTCAGGCTAACAACTCATTTCCAGTATTTATGATTATACAGAATTCAAATAAAACCATCATATACATACATATACATATACATATACATATACATATACATATACATATATATATATATATATATATATCTCGCCCTAATATGCAAATAGACCTAGTGGCAGAACAACCGAACCGATCGCTATGTGCACTGATCACCAGGGGGTATGGTCAGAACATGGTGGGCATCAGCAGCAAATAGCAGAGTGTGGAACATGGAGGATGTGGGCTGTGGCAGGATGGTGAGCAGGTGAGCCAGACCAAGGTGGGGCGCCAATTGCTGTCATTAGGGCGAGCCTCTGGTGGTTACTAAAAATTCTTTGCTCCCATACACTGTGGTCTCACCCAGTGCTTGTATGTATCTGCTGCCGCCACTGGCACCAGCCCCCATAACCCCTCAAGGCTTCTTCAACTCCCTCTGCTCCTGAGGGGCGATAGGGCAGCAGCCACCGCTTGCACCTGCTGCCGTCGCCAGCTCACTCTGTACCATCAGCAGTGCAAGCAGGGCTGGCGGCATCAACATGTGGGAGCCGAAGAGCAGGAGTGGGGTTGTCAGCAGACATGGGACTGGGGGGGAGGGCCGGGGTGGGAGGGGCTAGTCGGGTGTGTGGTAGATGGGCCGAGACCTGGCCCTGTCCACCACAGCCTCTCAACCCACAGTTCCTTTCAAGGTGCATGAATTCGTACACTGGGCCCCTAGACCAGAATATGTAAAAACCATTTTTTAAAAAGGCACTAATTTGTAATCAAAGTTTCTTCCAAAACAAGTAAACAAAACAAAGCCATCAACTGCAGATTAGGTATTTATTAAGGTTGTTATCAACCATTTGATAAATTCTTAGTTACTGAGAATACTAAAGGCCCAGTGCACGAAATTCATGCATGGAGGGGGGAGGGGCTCAGCCCATCCTGCACTCTCTCACAATCTGGGACCCCTCAGGAGATGTCCGACTGCCAGTTTAGGCCCGATCCTGCTGGCCTAAATGACAGTCGGACATCCCTCTCGTAATGTGGGACTGCTGGCTCCTAACTGCTCACCTGCCTGCCTACCTGCCTGATCACCCCTAACCACTCTGCCTGCCTGATTGCCCCTAATTGCTCACCTGCCTGCTTAATGGCTCCTAACCACTCTGCCAGCCTGCCTGATTGCCCCTAACAGCCTTTACCTCAGCCCTGCTGCCACAGCTTCATCTGGAAGGTCATTCAGCTGTCCAGTCTAATTAACATATTACACTTTCACTAGTATAGATAGAATTTTCTTTTTAGCTCTAGCTGGTTTAGATCAGTGGATAGAGCATTGGCCTGTGGACTGAAGGGTTTCAGGTTTCATTTGATCAAGGACATGTACCTCAACTGCAGGCTTGATCCCTAGCCCTGATAGGGTGTGAGCAGGAGGCAATCGATGTGTTTCCCTCACATCGATGTTTCTCTATGTCTCTCCCACTCCTGTCCACTCTCT